CCCCTTAATTATGATGTAATGCCCTTCATCTCTTGTTAGTCTTTGGTTTAAAATCTAGTTTGTCTGATATAAGTATTGCTACTCTGGCTTTCTTTTGACATCCATTAGCATGATAGATGGTTCTCCATCCCTTCACTTTCAATCTGTGGGTGTCTCTAGGTCTAAAATATGTATCTTCTGGGTAGCATATAGATGGGTCTTGTTTTTGTTATCCATTCTGATACCCTATGTCTTTTGATTGGAGCATTTATTCCATTTACATTCAGAGTGATTATTGATAGATATTAATATAGTGCCTTGTGTAAAGTTGGTATTTCTGGTGATGTTCTCTGTTACTTTCTAGTTTTTGTTGTTTTTGGTCCTTTTTTCCCCAAAGAGTCCCCTTTAATATTTCTTGTAAGGCTGGTTTAGTGGTCACAAATTCCTTTAGTTTTTCTTTCTGTTTGTCCGGAAAACTATCCAGGTCTTTTAAGTACTATATTAGCATACGTTAACTTTTTCCTTTAAAAATATCTAAATCTCTAATATGTGTAGACTATTTGGTTGATCCCTCAATAATTTCCTATCTATTAACAATAATATCTAAAATTTTCTAAATTTTGTATATTTTTATTCACTTTCAAATAAAGCACCTATGACTGAAGTTGTTTTTATCCATGTATATTTATAATACCAAATGTCAATTGAGAATCTCTGATCAATTGGACTGCAGCAGCAGAAATGAAAAGTAGAGAGCAATGGGTATTATCTGACCACAAATCTCATACAAATGTCTGAAGTTCATTGCACAGGTAGGGCAATTTTCCTCACTGACTTCAAACAATGACAAGTTAATTATATGCAGGTTATCTTATTGTAAATACATTCTTAGGCACATTTTCCTTATAAATACATCTTTAGGAGTAGGCAAATAATGAGAGTAAATATTTGATTGTAGAACATGGCTGCAATATTAAACTTATTTTTAAAAATCTCTTTTTGTCTCTAGCACAAGTAAATAGAACAAGAGTAAGATGGTATAGATAAGGAAAATTCCAGATATCCTATTTAACTTTGTAAAGGGTTTAGGGTTCCAGACGGTTCTATGAAATTCAGTTGCTGGTGTTCCCAAGTCAGAAGCTTGTAAATCATCCAGGTCATCCTCAAAATTGATTCTATCACTGCATCCCAGAGATTTTTCCTCGTAAACATCTAATGAGTGCTCTTCTCTTTTATTCCTCGTACCATTTTGCCAGATCTGCCTTTCATGATTAGTTGCCTACTACCTGTTTACAATATCTCAACAGGTTCTTCTTCCTTCTAGTCTCCAATTCCTCAGTCCCATATTCCATAGAACAGTGAGTCTAAAATTAAAATCTGATCACATCACTTCTTGCCTAAGACTTTCCAATGTCTTCCAATAACTAAAGTTCCAATTCCTTACCAGAGCATCCAAAATCATTCAAAATCTGCCTCTCTCCAGCTTTATCATTTGCCATTTCCATCCCAAGCCTACAGCCTAGCAACAGTGAGCTATTTTTAGCTCAAGCCCCCTTGCTCAAGCCCCCATACCCTTGCTCAAGCCCCCTTCTCTACCAGAGTATCCTTCTTACTCCTTCCTCCCAACTCCTTTTTCTTGGTCTAGGACTCAGGACCCTTTCTGATTTAGCCTAGGGGTCACCAATGGAGGAGGCATGTGCTGATCACACTTTCCCCTCCCACTAGTGCCCTCTCAGTATTCCTTGATTCTCTAATCATCTCTATCACACACCCACTAAGTCATCATTCTACGGGTCTGTCTTTCTCACTGGGCCCAGAGTTCCTCGAGGGAAGGTACAGTTTGGTCATAGCTATGTCTCCAGCACAGGGCCTAGCATTTAGTATGTGCTCCAAAAGCATTTTTTAATTAACATAGGTACAAATGTGATATAGAAGATGGCATGTAAGAACTTGGAAATATAATTTTATTACAACCATACAGAAAAACGTGAACTAATTTATTTATCTGTCACTAGCAAGAGAACTAGCCAAGTTTTCTAGCTTTTCCTGAGACATCTACTAAAGGTAAATTGTTTTCTTTCTTTCCCAGCCTAGGAAACAGAGAGAGTCTAATTGCTGCAGCAGCAGGATAACAGTTAAAATGAACAATGTGCACATATAGGACCTACCCAAAGTGCTCAATGCATCCACATAAGTGTACAAGTAATGTGAATGATGAAGAGGGCAATGGAGTTCTTGCAAGCTGGAATCCCCATATCAGAAAGTTACCTACCTGAACAAAAATATCATTTAGGACCTGTAAGGTTGATGCTAGAAGGAAGTAAATATTAGTCTCTAGGTATCCTTCTTTTCCTGATTCTATCACTGATTACTACATCACTCCCTGCCACCTGCCATCACCCTACTCTCTTCCTCGGCACTCTGGAAGAAATATGGATAAATAGCTCTCTCTTTGCTTTCTTATAGCAGGGCCAGAATATTCAAATGAACTTTGCTAAAGGAAGCAAAAAAATAATTTACCACCACGTACTATGATCCTAGAGCCTGATATAGTCTATTCATCTTTAATAAATGAAGCAGCAGTGTTAATTCAATAAGTTTGTCAAATTCTCAAATCTCCTTAAGTGATTATGAGGTGCACACCCAGTAAGTCCCAGGCTCCCTCCATATATTTGAGGACAGCTGATTATGCTCTACCCATAAATACAATCTTAGACATCCAAACTCTTCAAATTCCAGGCAAAGGTGCATGGTAAACACAGCCTCAACCCCCACCTGGGGCTTATCATCATATGCCAGCTTCCTGACTAAAGACCTGACTCTTCCTCACGTAATCTTTCTTAGAAATGACTTCATTTTCTGGGGTGCCTGGGTGGCTGAGTTGGTTGGGTGTCTAACTTTGGCTCAGGTCATGATCTCACAGTTTGTGAGTTTGAGCCCTGCATTGGGCTCTGTGCTGACAGTTCAGAGCCTGGTGCCTTCTTTGGATTCTGTGTCCCCCTCTCTCTCTGCTCCTCCTCTGCTCACATACTCTGTCTCTCAAAAATAAACATTAAAAAATTGTTTTTTAAAAAATAAATGGCTTTATTTTCATGTGGTACTAGCTTACCCAAAAAAATGGCCTAATTTTTGTATGTCCAGAAAATTTAAATATGATTTAATACAATGCGACAACCTTAATCATCATAAAAGAGATACATTCAGTCAAGCTGGAGGTGGAATCTTTAAGAGGATTCTTTCCCATCTGGAATGCCTGTGAGTGACAAACAGAAACATAAGTAACTCATACACTTGGTAAATTAGCCTGTCCACAAGCTTGTCATCAAAATGTATTCTGTCAGTAAAGTTTTTCCCAGGATAAAAATTCTGGTTGGTCCTATGACATTATGTGCCTTATTAATTAAAAATTATGATTTAATGTTTAGTATAAGTGGAGGTACATATATGTTTTGAAATTTAATAATATAAATGAGCACCAGTGAACCCTTCACTTGACTTGGGGACTACGGTTCCTCCCATATCCCATCCTTCTGCCATCCAAAAATCATCATTATCCTGAATTGTGTTTAACATTTCCTTGCTTATAGAAAAAAATAGTTATGCACATATACCAATAATTCATTGTTCAGCTTTAAGTTTATTTATTTTGAGAGAGACAGAGATAGCATGAGTGGGCGAGGGGCAGAGAAAGAGGGAGAAAGAGAATCCCAACCTGGCTCCTCTGTGCTGCCAACACAGAGCCCGACATGGGGTTTGAACTCATGAAACCATGAGATCATGACCTAAGCCAAAACCTGGAGTCAGACACTTAACCAACTGAGTCATCCAGGAGCCCCCATTGTTTAGCTTTGCTTGGAGAACTACTGAGCTTTACAAAAATGGGATTACAATGTATGTAGCCTTCTAGGACTTTTTTCTTTTTAATGTTTTATTTTATTTTTGAGAGAGAGAGAGACAGGCAGAACGTGAGCAGGGGAGGGGCAGAGAGAGAGAGGGAGACACAGAATCCGAAGCAGGCTCCAGGTTCTGAGCTGTCAGCACACAGCCTGACGTGGGGCTCGAACCCACAGACCATGAGATCATGACCTGAGCCGAAGTCAGACGCCCGACTGGGCCACCCAGGCGCCCCAGACTTTTTTTCTTAATAAGAATTCCCTTCACAACATTCTTCATAATAATCCCAAACTGGCAGCAATCTAATTGCCCATTTAACCTCAGAAAGGATAAAATGAAGCATATACACACACAATGGAACACTATCCATTATGTAATGGAAATGAAATGTAAGTAATGAAAATAAGACACTGCTACTCTCAACAATATGGATCTCATGGACATGTTTATGAGCGAAGCTAGACATAAAAGAATTCATGTTGTATGCTTCCATTAATAGAAATGTTCAAAATTAACAAGATTAACTTACAATTTTCGCAGTTGGGACAGTGATTACTTCTGGAGGAAGTGGGTAAATGGCTGGGAGAAGGCATGAAGGGGAATGTTGGAGATGCATGAAGGTAATGTTCTATTTTTAGATATGACTGGTGGGTAAACAAGGATGGGCATTTTCAAAAAACCATAAAACTGTCTACTTATGACTTATTCACATTTTGAAAGATTTGTCCATGTTTTCACAAAAAGCAATATTTCATCTTCATGGAATAGAACTGGATATTTAGTACTTGGGTGTTATGTGATTTCAAGTATTTTTAATTCTGCCGTGTTAAAATTGTTGAAGTCAGAGGCCGTAAGTTCAATAGCAGAGCTATTAAGAACAGGAAGTGTTGACAGGTGTGCTTTTCAGAATGAGGAACACTAGGTTTATCTTTATTTAAATATATAAGAAAGACCATGGAGAAATATGCATTTACTGTTAGATGTAAGCTGAATCTATATTTATTTTTGACATTGTCTTCATGCAGTTGTTTTTTTCCCTATGTGTATATCCCAGGTAGGATAAAGAGCTTTTCTGTAATCTTCAGCGGTTTAAGAATTCCAATGATTGCTGACATAAAACCAGAGTATAAAAGTTTAGGACAAAAAGTTTATTTGTTGGAATGTTTGTTTCAGAAGATTTTATGTTGTTCACTTAATGTTGCAAACTACATTTGTCATAGGGGGCTGATTTTGCTCATCAATCTCATGGTAATTAATTACTTACTATGATCTCCCAGCTGGTTATAAGTAACCAAACAATTAAGTATTGAGCACTTTCTTACTGAGTTAGGAATATACCTAAAAGGACTCCTCTTTGCCAAAGTTTATTTTGCAAATGCAAAATAAGTAATGATTCCAATAGATCAAACATCAATCACGAAACGAAATCTCATCCTTTCACGATAGAACTTCTGGAACCTGTTAAGATGTGAGGTTGAAAAATGGCTCTTTGCTTAATAAAAAATATGCTGGCATTCCACACAGGAGGTTCCTCCTCTTCTCCAGGAACTTATATTGGAGTCTGCCAGGATTCAGTGTAAGGGCTTCTTTTCTTCCTAGACTCTCTCGGTGATCTGGTCTTGTGGCTCTATTTTATTTTATTCCTTTAAGATTAGCTTTTTTTTTAATGCTGATTTTTGAGAGAGAAAGAGACAGGGCGTGAGCAGGGGAGGGGCAGAGAGAGACAGAGACACAGAATCGGAAGCAAGCTCCAGGCTCTGAGCTGTCAACACAGAGCCCGACGCGGGGCTTGGACTCAGGAGCTGTGAGATCATGACCTGAGCCGAATTTGGAGGCTTAACAGACGGAGCCCCCCAGGCGGCCCTCGGGGTTTTAAATACCATCTATTACACACACATCTTTCCCCGGACCTCCCCCTCTTCACTTCTCAAGGTCAACATGTCCAGAACGGAACTCGTGTTGGTCTTCATCCCCAAACTTGCTCCTCCCACGGTCATCCCCCTCTCAGATGATGGCAGCCCTATCCTCCCAAGTCATTAGTACAAAAACCTTGGAGTTAAGCTTGACTCCTCTCTCTCAGACCCCACATCATACCATGTCCAAAATGTATTAGATTTAACTTCAAGTATCTTGGGGCGCCTGGATGGCTCAGTCGGTTACATGTCGGACCCTTGATTCCCACGCAGGTCATGATCTCAGCGTTTGTTGCGCTCAAGCCCCGCATCAGGCCCTGTGCACTGACAGCTTGGATCCTGCCAGCATTCTTTCCCTCTCGGTCCCTGCCCCTCCCCCCGCCGATTCTGTCTCTGTCTCTCCAGATCAACCTAAAAAAACCCAAAAAGAATTAGGTATAACTTCAAGTAGCTTCACAGCCCAATCCAACCTCGTCGGCCCTCTCCTGAACCTAGCACATCCCCTCTCTCTCCCGGATTACTGCCATTGCCTCCTGACCACTCTCCTCCCTGTCCCTGTGTCCCCAGCAGCCCCCTCTGAGCACAGCAGCCCGGTGCGCCTATTACAACACGCACAGCTTGGGCCTGATGCCCTCTGTCCGGCTTCGGCTTCAACCTCTCCGGACCCGCTGCACCCCTGGTCACCCCCTGCCTCAGGCCCTTGCACTCGCTCTCCTCTGCCCCACAACCTTGTCCCCTAACATCCGAGTGGCCACCCACTCCAACCGCCTTCATGTCTTACTCCCGTGTCGCCTTCTCCACGAGGCCTCCTGGCCTCTGTCACCGCCTCTCCCCACACTCCGTCTTCCCGGCCCGCGTTATGTTTCTCCCATGCGCCTAGCACCATCTCCCATCCTCGTATGTTGTTCATTTATCCCATTTCCTGTCCCTCGAGGAACAGGATCTTGTGAGACGCAAGCAACGTGTGAGGTCCACGACGCCACAGAATGCTGTTTGCTTAACGCCCCGTCGCTAACTCCTGGAAAAGCTCCAGGCACACAGCAGGCGCTTAATAAATACCTGTCAAACGGACGGGAGGCACGCCTAAGGCGCCTGCGCCCTGCTGCCTCTCCGCGGCCCGCGGCAGAACGTTCCGGCCAGGGCCGATTCGGCCACCGCGGCCTTGCGGGCGACACAAAAGCCTCGCTTGCCTCTGTGAGGGCCGGGAAAGCGGCCCTCACGGCGTCGGCGCCTGCGGCTCCCCCGCGGCCGCACTTTGCCCACACGGCTGTGCGATTCCTCCGGGGCCGCCGGGCCTCGCGCCTGAGCCCCGCGGACGTCAACCCCGCCCCGTCCCGGACGCCGGGCGGGCGCCGGCGTCAGCAACGTAGGCGGGAAACGCTGGGCGCCCGGGGCACGCCGGGAGCACCCGATAGGTGGGGCGGGCTGCGCACGTGACACGCGGCAGGCCGGGACGCTCGGGGCACGCCGGGAGCGTGTGGTGCGAGGGGCACGCTGGGAGGGCAGAGAGCGGAGCGCGGGAGAGGCGGCTTAGGAGCGCGGGCCCTGAGGCCGGGAGGCGAACGGCCCTCGAAGGCGAACCCGGGCCGACCGGGGGACAAAGGGGTGAGGGAGCCGGGCAGGGAGCGGGGAGGCCACTGCAGGCCCTGCCGTCTCCCCTCCCGCGAGAAGGGAGAAGGCTCGTGCTTCTCCCTCGGGAGGCCGTGGCTTCCACGGGTTTTAAAAACGTGCTCCCGGACGTGGTTCCCCGCCAGGAAGCGATCCGCGGCGGCGGGGGGGGAGGGGGGACCCCGTGCCAGCGCCCGGAGCAGCGCGAGCCGACCGTGTGGGCCAGTGGTGATGGCGGAGCAGGGAGCAGGGAGCAGGGGGGGGGGGGGGCCCGGGCCCGGGGACGGGCCCCAGGTTCCAGTCTTCAGGGCACCTTTTTGACGGGTTAGTCACAGGGTCGGCGCTTACACCCTGGATTTCAGCCGAATGAAGACCTTGGCCATGTTTCCACCGCGGTCCTCTAGCCTCCGGGCCGCACCTTGGCCCGCGGGGGCCCCACAGGCCGCGGGCTGCTCAGACCCCGGCCCCGGAGCCAGGCTTGCTTGCCAGTGGGCTCTGCGAGCCGTCGAGGGCGGGCCCTGGAGCCAGCCTTGGATTCTGTGCCTCCCTCTCTCCCTGCCCCTCACCTGTTCATGCTCTCTCTCTCTCTCTCTCAAATAAATGTTAAAAAAATAGGAACATTAGAGAAATTTATTAAATAAAGACAATGTGATAGAAATAGATCTAGTACCTAGATTAGAGTAGGCATTTAAATAGCTGGTTTTCGTATTATTATATTCAAATTATTTAGGATATAAAACTTCGGGCTTAAAATTCTAGATTATCTTTTTGAAATGATGAAAATTTTCTAATGTGTACTGTGATGGTTGCTTAACAGCAAACATAGTAAAAACCATTGAATTGTATAATATAAATAGGTGAGTTGGAGGTTATTTGCATTACATCTTAATAAAACTTGTACCAAAAAGTTCTAGCAGGTAAAAAATTCTTAAAATGTTAGTGATATTTAAATGCTGAAGTCCGCTAGTTTGTTTTTACTGACTTATTCCAACACAATATCAAATATTCTGTAGTGGGTTGGTAGTAAATCCCTATTGGTAAGAGAATTTATTACCGCTTTATTGTTGTTTATCTTTAAAGGCCTGATAGCTGAGACATTCAGTCAACAGGAAAATATGAATGATTCGAGGCAGCAATCATTGTTCTTCATCACATCTCCAGATTTACACAAACTCTGTGCTGTCAGGATAATACTGAGTAATGGGGTGGCGGATACTGAGATTAGAAGTACGCAAATGAAGATGTGCAGGTAAAAAGTACACTTTATGACTGAGGCTTTCTAAATTTTTTGAGACTTATACGCACTGTTTTAGAAGTATCTCCTTTTGGGGCGCCTGGGTGGCTCAGTCGGTTGGGTGTCCGACTTCAGCTCAGGTCACGATCTCGTGGTCTGCGAGTTCGAGCCCCGCATTGGGTTCTGGGCTGGTGGCTCAGAGCCTGGAGCCTGCTTCCGATTCTGTGTCTCCCTCTCTCTCTGCCCCTCCCCCGTTCATGCTGTGTCTCTCTCTGTCTCAAAAATAAATAAACGTTAAAGTACCACAAAAAAAAAAAAAAAGTATCTCCTTTAAAGCAAACTACTCTTCTACTCAATCTGTGTATATAGTTTTAAATAAAGGAATTCAGTTTTCTTCTGACCAGGTATATCGGATTACATTTGGGGAAGGACTTAAAACACTTGAGATGGGATATCACACTATTGAGTTTTTATATTTGTGACTTCTTGTGTGATGTTTTTAATTTAAATTTTTTACAGACATTGATGAATTAGATCAGACTCCCCAAAACTTGGAGATAGAAATTAATATTTATTGAGTGCCTACTGTTTATGGACACTTTAGGAGATACTGTAAACACTTCAGATGACAGTTTCTCTTAATTTTCGGGTCAGCATAAGATCACTTCTGAAGACTGTTTCTCCAAGAACTGTCTTGAAATATCTGACCCAAGGTAGTCTGAAAAACAGCTTGGTTGAAGCCTAAAGTATGACTCCATGATTGCTGAGGACCCAGCATGTATTAGTCCCTTAAATTGTTTGAGGTGCTCAAAGAAGGACTCTTAGAATACATGACAAGATTACATGTGTAGCTGCCTTTCTTGCAGAGGAGCAAACAGAATATTGCTAGGAGCCAGAAATAAAGAAGACACTCTCGAGTTGTCCTCCCCATTTTGTTCTTAATTACAAAACTTTCCTTCTTCCCTTTGTATATTCTCCCACTCAAGTGCATCCAGGAGCCTGTACCCTTCCTGCTAAGGTGTAATTTGAAACCTATTGAACATTTACCTGCGACTCCTTTTGGAAACAAATAGGTGGAAAACCAGAGATTTTCTGCTGTTTACTCTCAAACCGTGCCCACAGAGTGGGATGTCTTGACTCAGTCCCAGTAGCTGACAAAGAGGCTGGGACAGATTGAGAGGAGACTTCACTATGTCAGACAAAGGCAGGCACTGCAAAAATCAGGTGCTTGCTGCACTTGGTTCTGCACCAGCGTTCTGAGGAGAAACAGGTTGGCCCGTCTTACTTTTTGAGGAAACCCCTCCCCGCTCCCCACACACACACCCATGTCTTTTAAAGTTTGTTTTCCTGATGATGAATTTTGAAATTTTTCATATTTCTGTTTCTAGTCACTTTCATGTTTTATCCACCTTTTCCTTGATCTTTGAAACAAAATTGATGGTAATTTGAATTGTGATGATTGTTGTTATGAGTTCATTTGGCTGTTGAATGCTAAACTGAAACAACCACCTTCTTCATTTTGGCTTGGAAAAAATTTTCTTTTTAAAGGAAAAGCATCCAGTCAATAGTTGCAACGGTGAAGTATTTGATCACTGATAGATGAATCCTTACAGTCTTGTCTCTAATGCCTCCTGATCACCACTTAAAAAAAGGAAAAGAGAAGAAACAGAAGTTAAAAGAGCTGGATTCTTAACAATGTTTAGACATCTTCAAATCTATACTTGGACAGAAATGGAGTTTTAAATGAGGAATCTAAGTTCACAGATAAAAGAGATTGGGAAACTCAGATGCAGGGACATGTTTTCATATTAATATCAATATTTGGAACCTAACATTCTTAAATCTTGGATGAATACCTAAATATTCAAGTTACCATGTTAAGTGTGGGGAGAGATACAGAAGTCTATAACACAGTCCTTCCCTAGAAGAAATGTAAACTTTTGAATAGAACTAAGCAACTTTCTAAATGTTCTGATAAAGTGAAACCAGACAGTGGGCAAATCCACTTTACAATTAATACATTTCATCTCCACAGGCAATTGCTGTTTTTGCACCAAGATATTCTTACATCACCTGTGCCTGGAATATTAAACCAAATTTGGGTAGTGATGGCGGTTAGTATTTTAAAATTTTATGAAGTGTTATTACTAATTATTGGGAGCAATATTGATAAGAGAGTTAATTATAGCTCAAATTGAATGTGGTTTATGAAGCCAAATTACCTGTATTATAGTTTGAGTGAATCAATTATAGACTTTAACTTTGATATACCTGATATTTAAAATTCATTTCCATGGTTCTAATTTAATATTTTTTTCTGTCATAAATACTAAGATAAAGACTATGAATGAGTAAAATAATATAGCATAAGTTTTTAAAAATAGCATGGGCTTAATATTTTTCTTATATTTTTTTTCCTTAGAATTCCATTAAAGTAAAGGAAGAAGTTTCCCATTCCAACATATGTCCAATTGTTTTTAAAGGACTTAGATCAACAGTGTTTTTAATTTGGAAACTATTTAAAATTTTTTTTTTACACTTAATAAAATTAGAATGAATTTTCCCAGTGCTGTATGTTACTGGGAATGATAATGAAATGCCAAAAATCTTTATAAAAATTATATTATTCTGTGATTTTTGTCAAAAATCTTTGAGAAAAGATCCTCTTACTCTCAGATTTCATTTCCTCAGAATCCAGTGAAATGAACATTTATTAATATTAATAAGCTATCAATAAACTTCTAGTTCCTTTATTTTTTCTTCTATGTTATATGGTTATATATTCATCTTATCTTTTCATTCTTGATATCATTTTTAAGAAGGATAAGCTGTTCGTAGACAAGTAAACACTAATAACTCTTATTTGTGTTCTTTTCTGCCTGAAAATCTTTATGGAACAAGGAGGACATTGTTTCAGAGTTCTCATAAATTCAAATATCCTAATCTTGGCAAGAATACTAAGAGGAAAGCAGGCATATAAAAATATGTTTTGCTTTCTTACAAAGATATTACGTAATTTTTTTTATATTTAAAGTAGAAAATGGAATTATTACACATACAATTTTAAACTTGCCATCCATTTCCCCCTGAACAGCCTCTCCTGGATGTTATTCTGTTTCATGGTTGAGGCTGTGAAATATTTTATTGTATTGGTGTATAATAATTTAGTTAATATTTTCTAATGCACGTCTGAATTTCTAGTTGTACTACTATAGTGCTTCAGAAAGCATCATTGAAATTATATCATTTTTATTGGTCTGGAAGTTTCTATGGGTTAAATTCCTAGAAGAGGGATTGCAGTGCATTTTATACTATATATATTTATACATTTTATAATATAATCTAGATAATGCTAAATTACTCTCTGAAAAGCTTGTGCTGGATGGCATTTTCATAAAGAGTATATTGAGAGAACCTGTATTTCCATATCCTCATAAACACTAGATATTAGCAGCCTTTACATATCTGCCGATCTGTTAAAAATAGTGTCTTCTTTGAATTTCTGTGTCTTTCATTGGTTAGTTAAAGCACTTTGGCCTTTTGAACTTTCTCTTGATCTTACAGTTGTGTCCATTTTCTTTATTCATGCCTAGAAATTTACTGTGTGTTAAGAGAGATGTTAAATATTATAGAAATGTATTAGCCTTTTCCTTTTCTAGGTTTGTATCACTCCCAAAAAGGCTTTCTTAACTTTGAGAATGTACCTACAGATTCTGTTTTAGGGAGAGAACGATTATCACTTGCTTCTCCAACACATAGGAACTGTTAGGATGATGGCCTGATGATGTGTCCTCTGCTGTATAATGTTTAAATTCTTTTTGTATTTCTTTCTTTAATAGTATATTTAAGTAATTTTTATAAATGTGGATTTTTGTTGTTTTGTTGTTGTAGATACCATTTTATAAAGCTGGAAAACTTAATGCCTATATTGAAAAACACGGAGCTAAAGTAAGTTCTTAAGAGAATAATAATTCCAAATACTATTTATAATGATTTTGTATTCAACTTCTTTTTGTCATCAAACAAAACTTAAACTATCTTTCTCATAAGTTATTGCCATGCATGTGAAAGAACCTGCCTTTTTGGCTTTTGAAGTTTGTGTCGAATTTTTATTATTTCTTCCATAAATTCTTGATAAAATTCATCAATCAAATTATCAGGGTCGGGCATTTTCCTTGTGGGAAGGTTTTTAACTATAATTTCAATATCATTAATAGATAATAGAACTATTCAAGTTATCTAATTCAAGGAATGTGTTCATTTCCTCTAACTTGTCACTTGTACTGACATAAAGTTGCTTCTAATACTCCCTTAATTTCCTTTGCTGTAGAATCTGTAGTGATGTTACCTCTCTCATCCTGATACTGTAACATGTGTCTTTTTTTCCCCCCTCCCTAATCAGTCTTCCTAGAGGCTTAGCAAGCTTATTGATTGCAAAAAACAAGCTTTTGGTTTTGTAGATTTTCTCAGTTGTTTTGCTGTTTTGTATGTCATTGATATTCATTTTGGTCTTCATTATTTGTTTTCTTATGCTTATTTTGGGTTTAGTTTACTCTTCATGTTTTAGTTGCTTCAGGTGGAAGCTGAGGTCATTGATTTGAGAACATTCTTTTCTAATATAGAGACATTTAGTGCTACAGATTTTCTGTAAAATATATGTTTTGTTTTTATTTTTTCTCTAATTCTCCTTTGATTTCTTCTTTGAACTATGGGTTAGAAATGTGTTATGTAGTTTCCATATATTTGGGGATTTTCCAAGGCTACTTCTATTATTGTTTTCTAATTTAATTGTTGTTAGAGAGCGTGTTTTGTATAACTTGAACCTTTTTTTAATTTATTGAGGCTTATTTTATGGCCCCAAATATGGTCTTTCTCTGGGTTCATGTTTGAGTTTAATGTTGCAAGTTGGCCTCATCCTGCTGCTTGAAGTCCTATTGATAGTATTCTTAATTAAAATATCTGTGAAACAAATTGAACAGATTTGGTCTTCTTCCTTGCCAGCAAATTAGTTTTACTTATATTCTGGGAAAATTCACCAGACCAAAAGGTCACAAAAATGAGGGGTGAATAATCTTTGGGAGACAATTCTCCTTGGCATGTCTTGCTAAGAGAAGCAATGGCAGCATCTTCTTCTAGGCTATATTTGCAAGGATATTTGTATAGAAAACAACCTTGGTTCTTTCCTCAGCCCTGGGTATTTCCCTTACATGCACGTGCTAATCTGTACTTAGCTGATGACTCAAGACGGACTCTGCTGATCTCAGAGTTTGCTCTCTGTTCAGTTCTCTCCCTCTAATGCTTTGCCCTCAACACCAGCTCACTTGGCTTCTTGGACTCTCAGCTGGCTCCTCAATGAAGGGAACCCATGGCTCTTCCAGGGTTCTCCTTCCCTGCACCACAGCCTAGAAACCCTCCTTAATCAATACAGAGGAGGTAATTGTAGGTTTCCCGTCTCTTAAGGATTGCTCGTCTTTATTGCTAGATGTCCAGTGTCTTGTGAACCATTGTTTCATATAACTTGCCCAGTTTTTTAGTTATTCTAGGGGGAGGATAAATCTGAGCCTATTACTTCTTACTACTCAGAAGTAAAAGTCGTGATTTTTCAAAATTCTCTACAAGTAGAGACAGGGTGCTGGTTTCATGTGTGCCTATGTAAGTATTTAATTGTTTTCTGATGTTGAATTAAAGTGAACAACAAGGAAAATTATTATAGTATCGTTCTGGGCTGGTTTCCTCTGTGCAAAGCAACATACAAAGTAAAGTGTAAGGTCCTGCCTAGCACAGGAGTTCAAAAGTTCAGGTTTATTGGGCCAGGATAAGGAGGGAGAATTTGGGCATTGTAGCATGATAGTCTTCCTGGTTTCAAAGCAAATATGTTTTAACACTTCTTTAACTTTAGAACAAGGTAGGATTACCTATAGTGATGACTATAACTCATATCCCAAATAACCCAATTTGTTTGGTGGTGATCTAAACAAACATTTTCTTTGAGTTTACAGGGGCATGCCAATTGCTGTGAATTTGCCCATGTTTTTTCTTTAATATGTTTAGGTGGAGGCTCCACAGAGAGTAATCCCTGTAATTCTTCAAAACTGCCTTTCATACTCACTCATGGCTAGGCTTGCTCCAGCCTGGAATAAAACTGGCCATCTCTTGGTGCAAGGTGACTTTATCTCTTTCAGTCATCAGGGGTTTCTGAACTAGATTATTTCTATTATGGGTATCTATTTTAAATTTCAAGATATATCATTTTGAGGGAATAGTTTTTAAAGTTTCACCCCAACTAAGCCTTCTTAGGCAAGTCCACAACAATATAAATGTCCTCTCCTTACTTAGGATGGTATCCAGAGGCCTACTGATGTTTTTTCAAATAATTTTTAAAAATTATATAATACTTGATGTTTGGAAAGGAATAACTATAAGTTATGGAAAATTATGATAAAATGAACACAAATTACCAACATTGTTGGAATCAAAAGGCTCTTCTGGATTTTGTGTTGAGGTCTGTCCATTTTCTAAGTATTTTATGCCAGGAAATAAATATTAGAAAGAAGAATTTCTGAACTTGGATACTTTTTGAGTGATTGTATTTTTTTCCGAACTGTCTTCGGATATTCCTTTGTGTAAAACTGCATTTTAAAATATTTTGCTTAGCTTTGATAATTTATCAAGCATGATTTATAAGTTATAATAATAAAGCATGTCCTATGAATTTTTTTAAGGACGAGAATTTCTTTCTCAGATGGGAAAGCAAAGTGCTGTTGGTAAGTAAAAATGTAGAAGTCAATAGATAAAACATTAATATGGTCAACAGTTGTTAAATAAAACAATGTTACCGATTGTTGGGTTTACAATCAATGATTAGGTTATGTCATAATTGAATCAGTTGTTAATATAATCACAATTTACCCAGGACATCACCTCTGGGTCAAAATATATGTTCTTACCTATAAGAGAAAAAGTTAACTTCTCTTAATTGGAATAAAATCTATATTTTTAATTTCTCTACTTAGTTAAAATTATGACCCTGAAGGAATTTAATTCTACAGGCATTTGTAATGTATAGTTTCCAGAATCATATAATTAAAAATTGTTACTATCGTTGTAAGTAAAAGATTTATTGCTTATGAGAACACAATTCTTCTCCTTAAAAGAGTAAAGAAAGATTGTCTAAAGAGACAAAGATGATCTGAAATACACAGTTTACAGTACAGTGTAATGTGTTATTGATAAGCATGGCTGTTTGGCAGGTAGACCTGTTCCTAAACAGTAGTCTAGAGAGAGCAGAGAGGTGGAAATCCTAAATCCAAGGAGACATTGATCAATCATGGTAGCTTTCATCACAATTTGTTCATTGCCTTAAATCCTGAGCTAGCACCTCTAATCCAAAACTATTCGCTTTGAGTTAACTTTCAGGCTGAAGCCTATTTGCCTTCCTTCCACTGGTTTTGTTTTTAAGTTGGACAGTGGCAGTCACTGTGCTCTAGCTCTGGACAAATGGGTTCATTACAGAAATTCAGTTTCATCCCCACTGTCAAGAGACTATAGCTGCCAGAGATTAAAGAGAAAAGTTTAGGAGAACAAAATCCCTCACTCTTGTATTACAGTTTTTCTTTTAGTTTTACCAAATGTAATATTCTACAGCAAAACTGACAAATTGTTAAGTGTATATAGCTCATCGGATTTTCACAGACTACACATCCTCATAACCAGTTCTCAGATCAAGAAACAGAACATAACCAGTTCCCTGGAAATCCCCTCATGCTTTCATCCAGGTACTACCCCTTCCCAAGATAACCACTCTCTGACTTCCATAAGTAATTTTAATTATAGAAAGCAAGGTAGAAGCTTTGGGTCTCCATGAAATCTGTATTTTATCTGCTGGTATATTGATAAGCATTTTTAGGAAAAGACTATGAAGTCAGGAGCTCGGCATGGTACCTCTCCTGATTTAAGAAGACAGTGTCCATTTTTCACATATAATATATAATAATAGACATGAGGCTTGTAAAAGGTATTTATTGAATTTTTCACTCAACTGTAGGATGACTCGCTGTTTTATTGTAACCCTGCCCTATGACCCCTCAACACATACATGCCCATATATCAGTGTTGTTTCAGGCCTCTGTCTCATCTGCAGACTCTCAAATATTATATGGTGATTTTTAAAAATTTTACCACGTGAGGAAAAAATACATATTCTTTTTTTTTTTTTAATTTTTTTTTTAATTTTTTTTTAACGTTTTATTTATTTTTGAGACAGAGACAGAGCATGAACGGGGGAGGGGCAGAGAGAGAGGGAGACACAGAATCGGAAGCAGGCTCCAGGCTCTGAGCCATCAGCCCAGAGCCCGACGCGGGGCTCGAACCCACGGACCGCGAGATCGTGACCTGGCTGAAGTCGGCCGCTTAACCGACTGAGCCACCCAGGCGCCCCGAAAAAATACATATTCTTAACTGAGTTTCTAACGTGGATAAATTAAGTTAAAGTCCTTTCTTTCATTACTAAAATAGTTAACTTGATAAAATGGGGTAATAGTTCCATAAAATTCACAGTTAAATATTTTATTTTCAGTATTAGACATCAATGTAACTGAAACTCAAGTTTGTCTAAGTATAGAAGCTTACACAATCAGACTGCCACCACCTGAGGTACCACATATTTTGATTTCTATAATTTACTAGATTTATTATATACTTAATGTACTATTATTATTACCAACATGCTAGTAGATTTTAGTTTTTAATAAGAAGAGTGATAAGAGCTTTTTATTATCAATATCCATAGTATTATATGCTTAATGTATTGATATTGTTCTAAGTCTTTTACTCAAAACAACATACTGTCAGCTTAACACAGATTTAATCATATTTTCTTGTTCAAAAAATCTCTTTAGATGACTTTCAAGACAACCCTCCCTTGCCTCAGCATTCACTACTTGCCTCTGTTTTCACCTCCAAATATTAAAAGCACTGTTTCAGTTCATACTAAATATCATATCCCCTCATTAGCATTCTAGTAGCATTTTTTTTTTGCATCTATTTTCTTATAATGGTTTTTGCCTTCCTAGTAGAAGGATATGTCTTTTGTTTTACTAATTCTCATAACACCCAACATAGACACTTACAAATTAATAGTAGCTCAATAAATATTATTTTCTTTCTTCTGTTTCAGTGGTTCTCGGTAGAGGGGGGGTAGAGAAGGAAATGAATGATTTTGCTCCCCAGGAGATATTTGGTAATGTCTGGAGAAAAATTTGATTATGACATAGGGGGAAGGTTGTGTTGCTACTGGCGTTTAGTGGTTTGAGGTCAGGGATGCTGCTAAAAAATCCTATAGTGTGTGGGATATCACTATAACTCCACCCTAACAAAGAGTTATCCAGCCCAAAGTGTCAGTAGTGTCCAAGTTGAGACAGATGACTCCTCCTTTGCTTAGAGTGACCCTCTGATTAGTTATAGATCATACTCATATTTTAAGAGCCAGCTCCAATGCTACTCCATTCATATTTCTTTAATTTTTTGATTACCTGTTATATTGAGGCACTAGGCAAGTCAAAAGTAAATAAGATCTAGTTTCTGGCCCTTAAGAATTGTGTAAGCAAATAGGGAAACTGACCTGCATAAAAATAAATGGAATGGGCAGCATGACATGAATATCTTGTACTGAGAGGAAACGTCCCAAAGCTTGGAGCCATGGTGACCTTCCAGCCTCTTTTAAACCTTCATGCTATTATGCAGCATACTCACATACTTATTTGTGTGTTTATTATAATTATACTCATTTTTCATATTGCCAATTTACTTTATAATAAGCTTCTTAAGGACTAATATCATGCTTTACTGCCCTTTGAATTTTCTATAGATTATACTTGTGTTTTATATACCCGAGTTTCGAATCAATTAGAGATTGACAAAGAAGAATAAGACATATAGAAATCAGAATACCACCTTTATTATTAGGATGAGAATATAATTTATGGTCCAAAATGGATACTTTTGAGAGTGAAAGGGGCACTAACCTAATGGAATACTGGCCTAACCTGTATGAACTGGAGTCTGTTAAAAGTAAAATCAGATCAGTTAAAGTTGTATTTATTGTATTTATTGCATTTATTGCACATAAAAGAATAATTTGTGAACCAGGAGTCTTCAAGCCAACAGTGGAATGAAGCTCAGAAGGGTGTTGTGACAGGACAGCTTATATAATGAAAATGTGGAAAATATTTTATCTTTATAATGATTGGTTATAGTAATGGAGTTTTCAAAATGACAGGTAACTGGTTAAACGTTATTATCTTACTCTGTTTTGGAAAACAATTTAAGTTTTATGATTTTTAGAGTATTTACAAGAAATAATTGAAATTAAATTTCACTTGTTATACAGTGAGCTAAATTAGGTTTTACTTGCATGGCTTAACTGGTTTTGTCTGCTTAAGGAATTTTCAAGTTTGGTCTCCATTTTATTTAATTCATATATGGTCACACTGTTTATTATTGAAAAAAAAAAACAGTTGTTAAAGAATGTAGCCTATCTGAACCCTAGAATTAAGTAGATTCCCCACCTACATATGAGAGTAGTGGAAACCCAGAGCTCCCTTGGGAGATCAGGCACCAACCCCAATATGACAGAATGCAGTACACTACTCTTTGCCAGCAGGCCAGCTCCCAAGAGGAGGAAGAAGGAATTGTCCCAATTTTATCAACCAGGTAAGTCACCCCATGGAATGAATGAAAGGGCAGGGAGATATCAGGAATATGTGTTAGAGCTTTCTCAACATGGAAGCAAACACCAGAAATGGGGAAGATGTACTTCTGTCTTCTACTCAACATTATGTATTCAACACACACTTGTTCTATTGATTCCCTAAATTATAACTGACCATTAGCTCCTCTAAATCTCACTGTACCTAAATTTTTGATATGGCATTTTTCACATTCCTTTATAAAAATTGGTTTCATACATGTCTGTGTTCCTAGTAAGTTGTAATCCCTTTGAGAGTGTTGGTTTTGCCTTATTTGTCTTTGTTCCCCATGTAGACTAAAAGATAATTACATTGAATTTTCCTTTCATCAAAATCTAGTATTGGTTATAGGTCAGGTGAGGGGAATAAAAGTGAGGAGGAGGATGTTTATCATCTCACCCCTTTCTAGTTTATTTTCTATACTTTCATTCCCCTTACGGAAGCGAATTGGGACAGAGGTTAAGTAACTTGCTCTGGGTCATGAAGGGTAGTAAGAAAGAGATTCAGGATTTACAGTTTTTCCTTTGACTCTGTTCATTCTTCTACACTGCATCATACTTCCTTCACCTAGCCTTAGGTTTCTTGACTCAGATTTGTACGTCCAATAGAGCCTGACAGGAGTGGATACTTAAAATGTATTGAAAAAAAATACAACAATTAAATAACCATGTTTGACAATATAGTATCAAACTAAGTGTCATAGGAACTACATGACTTTAGAGTTCAGAGAAAAAGGAGATGTTTGAGGGAATTCATATCTGAAACCTTTGGAACTTAGACAGTGTTTTCTACCCTTTCCTTCTTGAAATCATCTGAAATTTGATTTCCCTGAAATTGCTTTATCCAGAATTTCGTACCATTCATTCGTGGTTCTTCTTTCTCTTATCACACTTTAAGTGTTACTATTTCCTAGGGTTCCATTTTCAGCATGCCTGTCTTTTCCTTAGCAGGTTCAACTAGTTCAGTGGTGAGCTGGTGCACTGGTACCTCCCTAATACTCTCGTATAGTTGCAGCTTGCCCTCTCAGAAACTGTCACAGGAGTGTACTCATGATGTGCAGTCTTGGTTATAATTGTCACCCTCCCTCGCCTCAACTGTGTTCTTCCTTTGTACTTATTCTTGGTTACTGGCATCAACAGCCAATAAGTTACCCAGCTACAGACTTCAGAGTTATCCTTGGCTCTTGCTTCCTGTATCCAGTCAGCCATTAAAGCCTCCCTTGATCTCTGAAATCTCTTCCTCTCTCTCCATTTCCATTGCTCTAATTTAGGTCCTCTTGTTTGCCCAAACTATTAAAATTGGTCTCCATATTGGCCTTTTTTCTAGCCTTTCCTCTTATTTACTCTCTAATTCTTCACAGTGTCGGCAGAGTTCTCTTCCTAAAACAGACAGCCACAACCTAAATATCTCTAGTATCTCAACATTGCTTAGAGAAAATAAAGTCCAAATTCTTTAGATTGGTGTTATAAGGAAGAAGTGATATTTACCGAGTACTTTCTTGTTAGTGAAGGTCTGTTCACATAAGGACATGTTATAAATATTTGTTAAGTAAATACATATAAGAGGGTAAATGTCTTTGGGGGGGTGTGTATGGTGAACACTTGGGTAGTTTTCCAGTCTTCAGAAAGATCTGTGTTGAGAAAATCCAATATAGACCTTAAGTGCTGGTACCGTGGAGATCTCTGCAGCAATTTTCTTGGGTCTCTGAATAGTGTTGAGATAGGCAGAAGAATATAAACTCAAGCTAATGTAAGTGGGTGTATATGAGAACCCATAAACTGTGAACATTTGGACATATCTATCCTCTCTGGGTTCAGTTTTAGGTTCTGTTTTCCCTCAAATAATCTACTTATTCACCTGTAGTCAGTCTTTCCTGATGTTCATAGCCATCCCATACTGACCATCCTTTCTTTTGTCACAGATTGGACAACTCATCTCTTAAGCACAGTATGTTACAGTGCAAGATTTATCTCCAGTGCACAGGACAATATTCATTCTTAGTGTCTTTGCTCTCTTACCTCACAACATAACCAGTACATCTTATCTTCCTGTTTCTACATTCATGTTTTCCTGCTCTGCCCTGTTCCCTCATTTCCATTAGTCTTAATAAATGCTGTCAGAATTCAGAGAAGGATCAATCACTGAACATAGAGGAGATGGGTCTAGCTCTAGGCCTATAAGGCTTTTACTGGTAGAATTCAGATAAATCAGAGTAAGGGCAATGCTTTCAGCAAGTGTATTGTTATGACCTGTCTAGGCAACAACAAAAAAATTGGCCTGTTTAGTTGAAGTTTAGTGAAAAGCAGTAGAGAATGAAGTTAGGCCATTATTTTCCAAAAGCTGTATGATGATATGTTAAAAAGGGGATGAGGGATTATGAAATTATGAGCCATTCTCTCTGACTCTAATACAGTGTCCTCTTAGGAGGACATTAATACTTTATTCTTCACTTCAACGAAGTCCCTCCTTATCTTTGACTCACTGTATTAAAATGTCCCAGAGGGTGAGGAAATGTAAATGAAGAATTCTTGGCAAACTATAAGCTTAAATACCCTGCAGATAGGGCACCTGAGGACCAGAGGAAAAGCATTCAAGATAAAGGATACAGAAGGAGAGTTGAGTATTGGCTCTCCCTCCCAAAGACCAAATAGAGGAACAACTCTCTGACTCATTCTCCAGTTAAAAAAATTTTTTAAAGTAAAGAAAAAATTAGTAAAGGTGCTATTCTGATAAAATGTTAAATACCTTCCTTTAGAAAGAATTCAACTTCCTATAAACTAACATCATCAAAACATTGAAAACCACTTGAAATAAGTACAAGATAGGCATTGGGGTTGGAAAGTGAGAGAAAGCATAAAATACGTGATATGTTGTATAGAGAGAAGCAGGGTGAACTGATTGCATTATGTGAGGTGCCATGCACCTCCAATGTAACCAAGCCTTTAACACGACTTTGTAATTGACTGTGTGCACTTGTGTGTGAGATATGTGTTTTTTAATGTTCCTTTTGTTTCACAAAATCTTTTGAGGACTAATGCATTAAATCTTATTTCTATTAAAAGCTAAGAGAATTTGATATTTCTCAGAGTGTTATAAAGGATTTTGATACTAACAAGAATGCCATCATTGAAGGACATTCAATTTTAAGCAACTGGTGCTACGTTTTGCCAAGGTGAGATTTCAATTTGTAGCATCTGGGGTGGGTCCAAGGTGTAGTGGTTCTCTCTCATTTTGCTTCGACATCAATGTGTACGAAAGTATAAAGGAATTTTTGAAACTGACTTGTAACTTGAAAAGTGTTGTCATACTTACAGAAGTCATCAATTTCCTTTATCAAATTAGTAAAATAATTTTATTATACACTTAAATTTTTGTTAAATATAATTTTTACAAAAGTAAAATTTCTAGATAGCTCATGAAATTACAACTATTATAATATCAGTAAAACCTTATAAACTTTACGTATAATTAACAATTCATTATCATTTGACATGAGCTGTTTTTTAAGATTGTACCATCTGTAGGGGAAAATGGCTTATTATTTATATAAATAGGACTATTGGGATGAAATTTTAACCTGCTTAGGAAAAAGAACTTTAATTAACTAAGAGAATATGTATGATAATTTAATCATCAAAGCAGGGAAGAGGTAGATAGGGAACACAGGTTTGACTCTGATTCATTCAACTCTTAATAGACTTTTCCCTAATGTCTAACAGTTATAGGCATACTTCTGTGCGGCAACATTTTATTAGTCATTATTTTGTGTTTATAACTGGCATGTTGTTTGTATCAATTCAATTTCACTTTTTCCTAACAATTCTGGTTGTTGAGATTTACTACAGTGTGTGTTAGGAACTAGGAGCAAATGATTAGTTTTTACTTATGTAAAGAGAGTTGCTAAATCTTTTTGAATACTTCCTAAATTAAGTTACATAGTTAAATAAAATGATATCCAAGAATATTTTATCAACTCTTATTTTTCATAGTATGAAAAGGGGACAAATAATAAGTATTCTTCACACCATACCCCCTGACTGTCCTTTTCATTCATATGAAGATTTCCAGATGCACTGGGATGACCTGGTAAGGAATAGAAACGTATATTATGTTAGAAGCTATTTGATTTTGCTTCTTATGATTTAACCCAAGTTTAGCTTTCTCTTGAGAGAATTTCAGCTTGGTTTTTAATTTTCAGTATGGCTATAAACTTCCAGAAGATTGTGGAAATATTAAAATATACTGCAGCATCTACTTCAAAATGATAGGAGAAAGGATCTTCACATATCCTTTACACATCATGTATAACAGAAGCCCCCTGCCAGCCTCATGGTCCAGTCTTGCTTCTGGCCCTGATGTACATCATCCTTTTCAATCTTCTCTGCATCTAAATGAAACTGCTTTCCCCTCTAACTTCTTTTTCTTCTGCTTGAGTGTTTCTTGTTTTCCTTAGTTTTTTAAAATTAAGGATGAGCTTAATAATGATATTTTTTCTCTTAAACGCCATTGCAACATTTTAGGCAACAAAAGGAACTTCAGAGTGCCTAGAAAAATGTTTACATGATTGCTAGTAGACAGTAAATAATCCTAGAAACTAACCCTAGAATTCTCCTTAGTCAGGGGCTCCCTCCAGTGGCATTTTGGATATTACTGAAAGGGTGAAATTAAAAGCATTTGTCTTTTAACAGAGATTTTTCTTTTTGGAAGATTATTTCATCTCACAGGCAAAATTTAGAGGATCTCACTTGCACTTAATGCAACTGAATGATTTAAGAAAATGTATTTCTTAACATTATTTTAAATTTAATAATAATTACATGTGTTCAGGTGAAACTCTTCAATTGTAATTGATACTGATGTCACATTCCTGTCTCTGTATTCCGACCTGCTAGAGTTTCAGACTGGAAGAAGGAAGAGCCATAATGTTCTCTTTCTGCATTCTACACTTCCTAACCCAAATCTTAATGTAAAATTGAGGCTGACAGAGATAAACTGCTCCCTTTCATTAGATGCAAAGACATTGTTCCAAGTCCTCAGAATATTTTTCATTAGAAAAGTAACCACTTTTCTCAAAGATCTGCTTTTGGAGCTTGAATACAATCTGTATGTGTTGTTTCTCTGTACCGAATTTTTACAGCATTTGGAGATGCAACCTGTTTATTGTTTATTATAAATACTTATTTTTGTAATCTATAAAGGTCATAGTGTCTTTGTTATAAATCATTTTTGGAATATCTTAGTCTGCCAGCTCTGTAATAAGGACACAGTAAGCAGTCTGGAGTGTTAAAATAGAAGGAATCAAGATCCCTGTGATAAAACATACTTTTAGCTTTGGAAAATATGAAATAAATGTATAAAATAGGATTTAGTTATGTGTGCCTTTTAACAGTTACTATTGTAATTACTTTTTAATTCCATAGAAATTGCTTTCTCTTAAGCACAAAAACTGTTCTATTATTCGTTAACATTGTTCAGATACCCTCTCAGCTGCATCAGAAGTCAGCCTATACAGTTCTTTCCAAGAGTAGATTTGGAAGGTGTGTTGCAAAGTTTCCTTTCAGATTTAAAATCTAAACTGCCTCGTATATGTGGCTTTCCCATAAAGATGACAACGAAACCATGCTACTACACACAAGAACTAATGAAGCCTCATGTACAGGTAAGAGATTTCATATCCTACTGAGTTTTCCAGGACTTAGTATGCACCTGTCTTACTTGGATCTCTTGCTCTCTCTGAGGGACTACCTAGCCCATTGTGCTAGAATTCTTTTCTCTCAGGTCAGTGTTTTCCTAATGCTATTTGATGTGATTGTACTTGATCATTTGTCACTGACATTTATTGTTATTACTGTATTTAACATAGCAATATAGTAATAGTTGCTTACTGGTCTATTCTAATTTAGCATGAACTCCTGGAGGACAAATATCATATTCATTTTCTTATACCAAGTACCTGGTACAAAATAGATGTTCATTAAAAGTTTTTTTTTTTCAATAAATAAATGATCTTATAGTATAGTTTGGAAACATTCACCTCATAAAAATCCAAGTTTACTTTGAATTGCCACTTCATTTGAGTCTGGTTGATGAAAAAAGCCTTTGTATAATTCTGTTTACAGAAATCGAATTAATTCAATAACGTTTTCATTGTGAGAGGATACGGGAAGTGAAATCTTGTGAAGAAGTACCAGCGATTAAGTAATACTGATGAAGAAAGTATTCTGGGCTATCTTTACACTCACCAGAATATGATTTCTTTGTCAACAGATAACAAAATTGAAAGGGAAGTTTTTGAGAAACAAATAGAAGGAAACTTAATTTAAAAAATTTCAACAATGATCTTTCTTATAAATGATAATTGTGTTTTCATAAAAGGGAAAGAAGAAAGTTTGAACAATTTGAGTAGTCTGAATTGTAATATGAATTATATGAATATTTGTATTGTCTGCTTAATCTCTTTTCTTGGTTCACTGTGTCCTCTGTTTATTGTAGTTTCCACTGCTCCAATGATTTCAGGTTTCACATGACATTGACTTGCTGTGGCTCATGGCATTTTTTCAGTTTTTGTTTCTATTGTCATTCTCTTATAATCCTCAACTAAAATTTGCCAGCGCTAGTATCTGATAGTCCCCATTTATCTTTTCAGACCAGGCTGCACTTTCTGTCCCTGGTGAGCATGGGGATTTGGTATCCTTGAGTCAGGGACACCTCATGTAAATGGTGTAAAAACATGGCAGCCCATTTAGATATCAGGGCCAATAGACAAGGCCATTTTCGAAGAAAAGAATGCGAGTGAATAAATTCCAATTGACATCCTTATGATAATGAATCTTAAGTTTTGCCCAGACATAACATTTTTAGAAGTTTAGTTGCTGGCCAAGTCCGTATCTGTGGAATTAAGAAGAAAATACGTCATTACATAATGCGTTTTTATTGGATATATTTATTGAATACTTAATTATTTCCAGTCCATGTCTGTTTTAGAAATAGTGAATCTGGACAGTATACTTGTTCAAATTTGCTTTTTCAATGTAAAACAACACTTAATTGGAAACCCTGGTCTTTATATTCCTCTTGACAGTAAGACTTTATCATTCTCAGTTTTATTGAGTGCCTTCTGTGTGCCAGCTGCTTTTATGTGTATTATTTCATCTTAATCACAAAAACACAGTCTTGGAATAAAGAATTGTTTTCCAAGTTTTGCAGAAGAACCTGAAGCTCAGAGCATCCAAGTAATTTAACCAAAGCCACACAGTTAAATACATTGCAGAATTAGAACTGAAACCCCAGAGGCAGATTCTTAGTCACAAAACCGGGAAAAGTTTACATCTGTGGTTAAGAGCTCTGGCTCTAGGAACCCTTACTATGTGCATAAGCTTAGGCAAGTTATTTGATCTCCTTGTGCCTCAGTTGCCTTGTAAAACAAGGCATGGTAGTGGTGGTGATAATAACATTTGTTGCAAATTGGGCTCTCTAGGAAGCTGACTCTGGAGTCTAGTGCATGTGATGTCTACTGGGGCTGAACCTGGAACACTTGCAAAAAGTGAGGATGGAAGAACATGGGGTCAAGGGAGAAGTCAAAAGCACAGCAGGTAGCAGGTAGCCTTGGCCAAGCTTCCGAGGAACTCTAAGGCTAAACAGCTCATCATGGTGGTTTTTTATCATCCAAATAGCCAGACCTTTGTGCCCCCTCCTCCATCTGCCATTGGATTTGCACCACATGGGGATATAGGCATGTCCTAAGATGAAGTAGGTTGGCCCATGCAGGGGCCAACTCCCAGGAGCGGGGGCAGCAGCCCTTCTGTGAAGGGGATCTGAGCAACATGTCACCATGTCCTTCACGGTACTTTGCGGTATTTTGTTTTTTGCTTTAGGATCAGATAATACTTAGAACTGTTCCTTGTACTCAGTGAGCTCTCAGTAAATGTTAGTTCCTGTTATTGCTACACCACATGTTAGCTCTAAGATTCGGGTAGTCTAAAATGCGGAAGTTTAAAAAATAGAAAATAGCCGTACCTAGGTGGCTCAGTCCCCATGTCGGTTAAGTGTCCGACTTTGGCTTAGGTCATGATCTCACAGTGTATAGGTTTAGGCCCTGCCTTGGACTCTGCTGACAGCTCAGAGCCTGGAGCCTGCTTTTGATTCTGTGTCTCCCTCTCTCCCTGCCCCTCCCCACATCCGCAACTTTGTGTCTCTGTCTCTCAAAAATGAATAAACATTAAAATTTTTTTTAATTTTTTTTAATGTTTATTTATTTTTGAGAGAGAGAGAGAGAGAGAGAGTGAGTATGAGCGGGGGAGGGGTAGAGAGACAGGGAGACACAGAATCGGAAGCAGGCTCCAGGCTCTGAGCTGTCAGCACAGAGCCTGACAATGGGGCTCGAACCCACGAACTGTGAGATCATGACCTGAGCTGAAGTCGGACACTCAACCGACTGAGCCACCCAGGCGCCCCTAAAAAATTTTTTTGAATTAAAAAATAAATTGATCAGACTATTTGATAAAACTCAGCTGACTTTTTAAAACATTAAATTAACAGGAGTGCTTTACCAGACTAGATTTTTTTAATAAACTGATTGAAATTCTCAAAGATAGGTAAAAGAAATTACTATAACAAACTCTCATATGTCTAGCATCTAGCTCTTCTTTGATATATTTTTGGGTGGGGAGTAAACTGGAGTATTATTTTAAAAGAAACCCAAGATGTGGGACTTCTGGATGACTCAGTCAGCTAAGCATCCGACTTCAGCTCAGGTCATGATCTCACAGTTTGTGGGTTCAAGCTCTGCATCAGGCTCCATGCTGATGGAGTGGAGACTACTTGGGACTCTCTCCCCCTCCCCAACTCACACTTTCTCTCTCTCTCTCTCTGTCTCTCTCTCTCTCTCTCTATCTCTCAAAATAAATAAATAAACTTAAAAAAAAAAAAGAAACCCAACATGTGATGTTGTTTCATCTGTGAAGACTTTAGTATGCATTTCTATCTGACAGGAGCTTTTAAAAAATTATCCAATAATTCTTTAGCATCGTGTAGTATCAGCACATATTACAATTCCCTATTAATCTCAAAGATTAATTTTAGAGGTTTTGTTTAAATCATAATCCAATCAAGGTCCACGTAATTTCATTTGGTTGTTGTCTCTTAAGTCTCTTTTATTCTATAATATTCCAACCCCCTTCCCCACTTTCCTTTTATTTATGTCAGTTATTTGCTGGAAGAACTGGACCATTTGCCCTGGAGAATGTACCATATTCTGGAACTGACTGTTGCTTTCTTAGGTCATGTCATTTGAAGTTAACATATTCTTCTAAACCTCATATTTCCTACAAGCCTGTGGTTAGATCTAAGCTTAACTGAATTCTGGTTCAACTTTTTTTTTTAATTTTTTTTAACTTACATCCAAATTAGTTAACCTATAGTACAACAATGATTTCAGGAATAGATTCCTTAATGCCCCTTCCCATTTAAGCCCATCCCCACTCCCACAACCCCTCTGTTTGTTCTCCATATTTAAGAGTCTCTTATGTTTTGTCCCCCTCCCTGTTTTTATATTATTTTTGTTTCCCTTTCCTTATGTTCATCTGTTTTGTCTCTTAAAGCAAAATTAGTCAGTCAGAGAAAGACAAGTATCATATGACTTCACTCCTATGGTTCAACTTTAATCAAGAAACACTCAGGTGGTGTATTACACAGAACCAGATTTTAATAAAACACATTTGATCAGTCATTTCGGTCAGTCCTCAAGTTTCATTTAATCATGACCTTAATTCTAGGACTCCATTAAATGACATCTATTCATATCTAAATAATATAGGTTAAGGCTTTTGGTTTTCCTCTACACTTTATGTTAATGCATCAAGTTATGTAAATTGTATGTAGAGTTCTAGAAGTTAAAAGTCAGCCACATTTGCCAGTGATACCTGGCAGAATAATGATAATAATGTAGTAAAGCATATGATTTTTTTTAGCTATGACCTCATAAAGCTTTGGTTTTTGACCATTTAAGTATTTTAAGTTCTATGAATTATTTATGATCTCATCTGCTATTTACATAGTACTTTTTTGTAGTCTTTTTATAAATTTTGAATATAAACCTAGAGGTTTCACCCTTTGGGCTATTTATTTTAGAAGTTGAAAGAATGAGGAAATAATACACTGACAAGCTAGGGGGCAAAACAAGTCCTTGGAAGTTATTTTCATCAGATGTATGTTCCTAACACAGGTGAAAACAAAACAGGGTGTGAATATAAGCATATTTCAGACACACATTCTATGTAAGTTTTATGTCAGAATACAAGTAATCTATTCTCATATGAATCTGCTTAGAACAAGTTTTTCTTTTGGAATCTCAAGTAGTAGGTATGTTGTTTAAAAGTTACTATAGTTTATGAAACCCAAGGGTCAAAAAATGGCTTAGTTCTTCAACCCTTTTTTCATCAAATGGAGATATATACATATTGAAACATTTTAAGATGATCCAGTCACTTCTGATAAAAGCTCTCCTTGAGGCAGAATTTCATTGAAATTTAAGAATTCTTATTTTCCTTATGGTAGCATCTATACAAGAAAAGGCTGTGTAGGCTGAGGACATTTGGTGGATTTGCTTCATATGGTCCATGAGAATGAATGCCCTAAGCTCTGTTTCTGGACACCTACAAAAATGATGCGTGGATAGTTAACTTCTGCTAACTCTGCAACTAAAATAGCAAAGGCATTCATAATTGAACTTTCCAGCAGAAACTGCAGAAGTGTGGTTTTATCTCACTTCTTCCAAGTAATGTATGATTGTGTCTGATTAGTTGATCCTAAATTGTATTCTGAACCCTAGCTGCAGAGGAGAAAATGTCCATTTTAGATTTCCAGGCACCGGTTTAGGAAGGAACACTAGACAGAGGATAGGATGGATGATGAACTTCAGTCCACCATACCCATCCCACAGTCACAGCTGGGTAATGCAGGGGTGAGGGAGGCATTCACTTCTTGACCTAGATTGGTCTGATGTTTGTGGTCTCTGCTCATGAAGTATCTTGACGAAGATAGTGTGCAGGGTTTTCTCCTAGCTCCCTTGTACAGAGGGCCTTCAGAAGGACACATCACACCCTGTTATGGGTTGAATTGTGTCCTTCTTGCCTCATATTCATGTGTTGAAGCCCTAACCCCAGTATCTCAGGATTTTATCTTGTTCAAAATAGGATCACTGCAGATATAATTAGTTAAGATCAGGTCATATTGGAATAGAATGGGCCTCTAATCCAATATGACTGGTAATGTTATATAAAAGAGAAATTTGGAGACAGGCACATGTACAGGGAGACCTCCATGTGAACATGAAGATGACCATCTACAAGTCAAGAGGAGAGGCTTGGAACAGATACTTTCTTCATGGCCCCAATCCTAACACCACCTTGATTTCAGACTTCTAGCCTCCTTAACTTTGAGTCAATACATTTCTGTTGCTTAAGCCACTCAGTCATGGTAGTGGCATCCCCATCCATAGGGACAGCATCGCTATCAAACTAATACAAACCCCTTTGTGATGCATGCCTTTTCATTCCAGGTAGCAATCTGCAGGGGTTATAAGCCAGCTCTTATTCCTTGGTCAGCCTCTGTATCCCTTCACTCAGGGTCATGAAACCTGTCTGGGTCTTTGGTGCCCTCTGAAAATTATGGAGAAGTAAAGTGTATTCTTGCCCTACTGACATGGATAAGCCTCCAACTTGAGAAATATACAGACAAACAAGAAGTGAGCCCTCCTCATCTGTTTTTAGCATCAACTCAAACCTCACCCCAAATTTTTCTTAGAGTCTTCCCACTTCTCCCAAGAATAACCAGGGTAGGAGAATGAATATTGTTCTCCATGTAGACTTTGTGTTATGTCAACTTAGGTATGCTAGAAGTCTATTTTTCTGAATTCCTGTCTCTACGTAGTCCTGGCATGGGGTAACATGTGATGAGAAAGGTGGAAGTGAAGCAAGCACCATATTTACACTTGGAATTTCCATCTCTGTGAGGCCTGTATGGCAACTCAGCCCCTTGGGGGATATCCTATGGCACCTTGTTGGTGTGGAGACATAATTGGGCCATGGTTCCTTCATCTCCCACCATATCTCCTCTTTAAGCCTGTCTAAACCCTGCATCAGATTTTTGTGCAACTTCATTGCAAAATGCACCAGTCCTTTGGTACTGTGACATTGGAGGCTTGAAGTCGGTAAGGGATGACACAGGTTCTGGCCAGAGACAGAATGCTTTTTGACATGGCCATGAGATTGTCCATTCACATGCCCTTATGACCAATGACAACACTCAGGCTATTGCAGGGTGGAGTCTATGTTCCCTCCTCCTGGGTCTGGGCAGGACTGTGGCAGAGGTGATGCTGTGTGGCTTCCGAGGCTAGGTCAGGTAGAAACTGTCTCTCTCAGGACACTTGCTCTGGGATCTCAGGCAAAATGAGGGGCTGCTTGAAGTTAATCCAGTTTACAGCCAGGATCCACCATCACACGCAAGTGAAGAAGTGACGCCAGCCCCAGGGTCATCTCACTGCAGCTCCGTGAGAGACTCCAAACTAAGCCAAGTCAGCTCCCAGAATCATGAGAGAGAAGACAAGTATTGTTTTGAGCCACTAAGTTTTAGTGTGATTTATTCTGCCTAATCAATAAATGGATTGCTGTCTTACGTTTTCTTTGCCTATTTCCAATGCTTATCTCCAGTAGTGGAGAGAGGTAAGTCAGTTGCACTGGGTTTGCACATTATTTCTAGCAGTTTTTAAAATTTTATTTTAAGTTGTGACTTTATGGGTTTTTGATGCCAGAGAGTGAGAAAAGAACTCCCATTCCATGTTTCAGATTATTGTCACACGTCACTTTTTTACAGACACTAGGACTCGATAGATACATATGTTAAAAGACTATAGGGGCACCTGGGTGGCTCAGTTGGTTGAGCTTCCAACTTTGGCTCAGGTCATTATCTCACATTCATGGGTTCGAGCCCTATGCCAGGCTCTGTGCTGACAGCTCAGAGCCTGGAGCCTGCTTTGGATTCTGTGTTTCCCTCTCTCTCTCTGCCCCTCCTCTGCTTGTGCTCTCTGTTTCTCAAGAAATAAAGTAAAATGTTTAAAAAAATAAAACACTGTGAACACTTCCCATTAACAGGTGGCTAGATAAACAAAATGTGGGATTTCCATGCAGTGGAATATCATTCAGCCATAGAAAGAAAGGAAATTCTGACACCTGCTACAACACGGATGAACCTTGAAAACATACAGAGTGAAATAAGCCAGACATAAAAAAGTCATCAAATATTGTATGATTCCACTTACACAGGATACCTGGAGTGGGCAAATTCATAGACAGAGAGAGAGAATAGAGGTTCCTAGGAGCTGCAAGGAGGGAGAAGAGGAATTGCTGCCGAAGACCACACAGTTTCTGTTTGGAATGAAGAAAAAGTTGTGGAAACAGATAGTGGTGATGGTTACACAACTTAAGTTCAATGAAGAATGCACTTAGGGCCACTGAATTGTATACTTAAAAATGGTTAAAATGGTAAACTTTATGTTTTATCTATATTACCATAATTTCTTTAAAATTTTTTTTAATGTTTATTTTTGAGACAGAGAGAGACAGAGCATGAACGGGGGAGGGTCAGAGAGAGAGGGAGACACAGAATCCGAAACAGGCTCCAGGCTCCGAGCCATCAGCCCAGAGCCTGACGCGGGGCTCGAACTCACGGACCGTGAGATCATGACCTGAGCCGAAGTCGGACGTTTAACTGACTGAGCCACCCAGGCGCCCCCATAATTTCTTTTAAAAGACTATAAATACTTGGCTCTCTTTGGGGTGTCTGACAAGTCAGTCTGACAGATCCTTGTTGAATTGCTACCAGGTACCAGCACTTTTTAGACAATGAAAATACAAATGATCAAGACACAGACAGCCACTGCCCTACAGTCAAAATCCTACTAAAAGCCTGGTATAGATGCAGCCACCTCTTCCATTCATTTAATTTCTTGTAACAAGTATTTTGTAGTAACTGTGTGAAGGGTTTAAGAATGTGAAGTATAGGGGCACCTGCATGGCTTAGTTAAGCTCCAACTTCACTCAGGTCGTGATCTCACAGCTCGTGAGTTTGAGTCCCGAGTCGGGCTCCGTGCTCACAGCTCAGAGCTTGGAGCCTGCTTTGGATTCTGTGTCTCCCTCTCTCACTCTGCACCTCCTCCGCTCATGCTCTGTCTCTGTCTCTTATTCATTAAAAAAACCTTTTTTATAAAAGAATGTAAAGTATATAAGAATAAATAAGTAATGGTTCCTACCCTCAAAGGGTGATGGAACATGCACACTGAAAGTTACGAACACCACCTTTTACTGGTGTGTGTGTGTGTGTGTGTGTGCCTAATACTGATAGTAGAAACATGGGAAGTTGAAAAGGAAAAAAGTATACACAAGAAAGAAAGACATTCTGAGTGAGAACAGCGTGGACATACTTGGAGGGCAATAGGCAGCTAATTGTAGTTTTCATAGTCAATTTGTATACAATGTAGAGCCTATCTTCATCTTAAAATATCTTGAAAGGTTGGCATGTAAAAAAGGATGCAGACCGTAAGAAGTGTACGTGTTTCCTCAAGAAGGCTCATTTGTTTTTTTGTTTTTCTTTTCTATTTTATATATTGTAGTGTTATTCGGTATTCTTATTTTGATGATATTTTATATATTATTTCTTTTCCATTAACATTTTTACATTTTAAATTTTTCCCAATCTCTATCCTTTTAGGAAAACAAAGTCAAGGCGCCTAATCTGACCACTAAACAAGTGTTTAGGTCCTCTCTGACTCGGGCCCCTTGCACCAGACCTGTCCTGGCTCAGTGTCTTGTACCAGGTTCAGGAGCCATGAACCACAGGATGGAGATTCCAGGCAGCCAGCTGAAGAAAACCTGGGTGTCCTCAGCACTGCACCTCCAGCAGCAGTCTGTTCAGAGCGGAAAGAAATCCCTGTCTGACAAGGCACCACAAGTACATTTGGAAGCACCAAAGCCCAACACAGGAAACCTTCAAGTTCAAGGCACAGACTTAAGCTCCCAGAATAATACTGCCCCTACATTCATACCAGTTTTCAAAAATCGATCCTTGCAGATGAATAAAAAGATCTTAGAACCTGGCAACCTGAAAAGGGAACAGCATGTTGTTACAGAATCTAAATTCTTTTCACTTAAAACTAGTGTGATCCAAAATGACAAGCTGAATTTAGATCCAGCTATTAAAAAAAGATCTAATCATAACATTCAGATGAATGCTAGAAATTTAAATCAGAAGATTTCCAGACTTCTGCAAGGAAAAAATACTGAGTCCTGTGAAAATATGACAAAATATCCCCCTTCTAATGGAGAATCACCAACTGTGAGTTTAAATGAAAGTAAACACCTCTCTAATAGTTCAGTATCTCATATATCAAATAACAGTTTAGGTGTAATAAAAAGTGCGGTTGACTTCCAAGTGAATAGAAAAGAAAATTTAACAAGGAAATATATAACACAAATTTTGGGGAAAGGCCGCGAATCACTAAAAATGAAAAAACAACCATACATTTTTGAATCAGACACAGAAACAGAAGATCCCCAACTACTGCAGCCACAATCAATAAATCAGACTATAAAAGCTGATGTAAGTGACCACAAATTGATGATAAGCAAAACATCCCAGAGGTCTAAAAGAAGATTGTGTCAAGAATCTTCAAAAGCTTCAAAGAGACCTCATTCCAATACTATCCATTATGGACAGTCCAGTTTTCCTAGGAGCAAGGTAAAAAAAAATTTTTTTAATCTGGGTTATTTGCCATATGGTGGGCCCCTAAAATCCCTAAATAAAGATTTAAGTGATTTGCCCAAGATCATCTAGAAACATAATGAGAAATAGAATATCTGCTCTAACACAACTGCAAGTATATACAGTTCATTTTCACCAAGTGTGATTCTTCAATCTGATTACAGATACATGATGTGGACAAATCAAAAGTTCAGAAATCTCTCATCATTCCTAAAACTTAGAACATGGATGTGAAGGAAGGACAGGTAACTTAGGTGACCTATTTTCCTTTATTTTTCATTACATTATCTGAACTGGAATTGCCATGTTTAGGGAATCCCCAACCTCTTGGTAAGAAGGAGCTACTTTTAAATTCTTTGAAGCTTTATAATCAACAAGGAAATAGGAAATGTTGGGAACAGTGCAGTCCGTTAATAAGGGCCATACACAGGGTCTGTTGCAAATCGTAAATGACCCCACAGAGGGATGAGGTGGATAGAGGTCCCACTGTGGCTGCCTCCCACTCTGCTCCATGGTCTTTGCAGACTAAGAGGTCATAGCAGTAGCAGATGGCCCAAAGATCCAAGATTCCACAACCACTGGAACATGTACCTTTGGGACTTTTACCCAAGATAATGTTAGTCATTAAAATGTACTCCACAAAATTGCAGTGCTGGCTAAAGACAAACTTGAGATTTAACTGATAGTGCTGAGTCCAAGTCACTGAATTCAGAAAACCATGCATCTGGAAATTACATTTTATTCCATTCTGCCATCTGTTTTATTCTAAGAACAAACGTATTACTAGAATATCCACAAATACTTTTTTTGCACAGAACTGTTGGAATATTTTCAATTCAAATTCCTTATGAACAAAATAGAAAACATTTTCTTCTTCTATATATGCTATTTCTTTCTGTAATTAATAGAATTTCAGCCTGATTTCAATTAACTGAAAGGTACATAATTATATTCTTTTTTTAAAAAATCATGTAGTTCATGTAGTTTTTGACATCTTACATTTTAATACACTCAGTAGGTGGTTGAGGAAAAAGAGTGTGTTTGTTAAAATGCCTTAAATGTTTTCATTTTCATTTTAAAAATCTATTCCAGATTTCATGATTTTTTACAAGTATAGAACTTCCCCACTTTGAATTACTTAAGAACTAACATAATTTTTAAAACTTTTTTTAATGTTTACTTATTTTTGAAAGAGAGAGAGAGCATGAGGGGGCAAGGAGCAGAGAGAGAGGGAGACACAGAATCCAAAGCAGGCTCCAGGCTCTGAGCTGTCAGCACAGAGCCCGACGCGGGGCTCGAACTCACAAACCGTGAGATCATGACCTGAGCCAAAGTTGGATGCCTAACCAACTGAGCTACCCAGGCGCCCCAAGACCTAAGATAATTTTTAAGTTAAAAAAAAATCATTCCATCACCTAGAAATAATAGCATAATGAGAAAAAGTACAGGATATCGTTATAGAAAATAATTTCTGCCCAATATAAAGTTAATGTATACCTTGTAAAAATTTGAATAATACAAAACAGTTTCAAGAGAAAAGTTAAAAAATAATCTGTAATTTCTCTTTGCAGACATAACCCTCTGAATGTGGATGGACATTCACACACTCCTATGAACATGAAATCAGGTTCTGTGCACTGCTGTGGAACCTCCTTTATCACCTGACACTCATTATTCTCATGGGCACATAGGATTCATTCTGTAGCATGGGGGTGTTACTACATTAACTGTCCCAACTGACTGACATTTAAGTTGTTTCCAACTTTTCACTGTGGTTACAATATTGTATAAACCGTGTTGTAAAAGATGGACAAGTATAGAAATGTTTTTGTTAGTTGAAAATGTCTTTATTTTGCCCTTAACCATTTTTGTTGAAATTTCTTTGAATTTATTATTTTTATCATTGAAGATTTCAAGCTATACAAAGTATAGGTAATAGTGTAAAGAGCCTCTGGGGCACCTGGGTGACTGGGTCAGTTGAGTGTCCGACTCTTGATTTTGGCTCAGGTCATGATCCTAGGGTCGTGGGATCAAAGCCCTGCGTTGGGCTTTGCACTGAGTGGGGAACCTGCTTAAGATTGTCTCTCGCTCCCTCTGTCCTTCTCTCCCACTCACGTGCTCTCTAAATAAATAAATAAAATAAATAAGTTTTAAAAAATAGTGTAAAAAGTAGTTATCACCCAGCTTCAATAATTATTAATATTTTGCCACTATATTTCACCTATTTCTCGCAGATTCACTTTTCTTACTGAATTATTTTTTATGTTTATTTATTTATTTTGAGAGAGAGAGAGCAAGGGAGGGACAGGGAGAGAGAGGGAAAGAGTGAATCCTAAGCAGGCTCCGCACTGTCAGCGCAGAACCCAACACAGGAATCAGTCTCACAAACCATGAGATCTTGACCTGAGCTGAAATCAAGAGTCGGATGCCTACCTGAGTGAGCCACCCAGGTGTCTCTTTACTGTACTATTTTAAAACAGATTCAGTACGGCATAAAGTTCACCCATAAACACCTTGATACAGCTCTCTACCCGACGAGGGATAGCATAAAGAAAAAAATATGTGTACGTACTGTGAACCGTCTACAGTGTCTTCACTGACTCACTAAATTTTACTTTAGTCTAACATGCAAACTGACAGGAAGTCCTCAGTAAACATACGATCTATTTCACAGAAGAACTAGAGCCTTCAGTCAAACAACCAAAATACTGGCATGAAGATTTATTTGTTCAGCTGTATGTGTGTGCTCTGTGCCAGGCAGTGGGCTGAGCACCGTGTCCCTGAAATCACAGAACTGCCGATGGCTGTGTAGTCTAGTCCCCAACCAACCCACTCTGGGCTCCTGGCAAAGATGTAGGAGCCTGAGAGTAAGGAAGCAAATGCAACAGTGACGTTTTGGTCCACGTTACAAAAATTATGGAGCGTATAAAAAATGAGGAACAGAAATAGAGCTTCTCACCGAATTAGTATTTTTCTGGCTTTCAAACATTTTAGATGTTCAATTTACAAAATGTGATACAATAGTTGTGGTAAGATATTTAAAAGAAATAAAAACCCTCACTAATATTGCACTGAAATAATTCTTCATTAAATTTAAAAAAATAAGCAGAGAACCAAGTATAAGTTGAACTTTGATTTTTTAAAATGAGATTCACTATTTTTGCTCCTTCGCTAAACGTTACAATTAAAGGCAAAAGCGAATATGAGCTCTACTTGAAGACTGTAAATATAGTTCTTGCTCTTGGAATTGTGCCTGGCTAATTCATTTATTGTGTGTCTTTTACCATAAGCATGTCTTTTTTCCAGAGTCTATTTTATAATATTATTTTACCATTTTCATAGGGAAACACACCTGGTTTAAAGCCCATTTTGAGTGTGCCTTGCTCATTCTAGAACTGGTATGGTAGACAACGAGTAGACTGCAGTAAAAAATAGTATATCATTGTGTTTGTGAGGCTGTGCTGAAAATACCTGTTAATGAAAATACTATGAATAAGGATATATATTCGGTCACTCAGTCATCCACAGAACGTACTTTCTTAAAACCAGTCTTTCCCTCTGCTCCACACATTCCCCGCTGCCTTCCTGCCGCTCTCCTGCTGCTGTCCAGTCTTCATGCCTGAGGTAATAAAGACTTGTTTTATTCTAAGACTAAGTGGAATAATTAAAAAGATAAATCCACTGCTTAGTGTGTAGTATCTTCCAGTTCTTTATATAAATAATCTTGCTAGCTCCTCCTGCACTCCATTAGTGTCTAAAACTAATTTATAGGATACTATTTCATTTAGATAAATTTAACCTACATGACAAAGCCTGCTTGTGTTAGGATCAGCCTGTTTTCTGGTGTAAAGTAGGTTTATTTTTGCTCTTACAATATTTATCCTAATGAAAACTTAACACAAAAATATATATGATATATATGTATATAACTATACTGATTTACTATAGATGATTTACTATATACTTGATGATTTATTCATCAAGTATTTACTATATGATTTACTATAGAGATACTTGAACAGATTGATTGATTATTTACTATTTCATGTTCAGAGAAGAGGTCCCAGGGAGAATTACTGGCTCAGACTCCCTGAAGAAATTAATGAAGATTTTGTTTCATTTTAAAGATTATAATTTTGAAAGCCAGGATAATTCCAAATCTAATTAGGGAAAACTAAATTGTACTTCCTTGTTTAAATTTTGGTTTATATGCATCATGGTCACCACCCCCACCCTGCCCTCAAATCATTCTTCATATTCCAGTTGTGAGTTTTAGAACCATTACAATTTTAAATAATTTTGTGTTTGCCTATATACAGAAACTTAAAAGATTAGCCATTTCATTTAAAAACCTGTGGCAGGGGCGCCTGGGTGGCGCAGTCGGTTAAGCGTCCGACTTCAGCCAGGTCACGATCTCGCGGTCCGGGAGCGTGGAGCCTGTTTCCGATTCTGTGTCTCCCTCTCTCTCTGCCCCTCCCCCGTTCATGCTCTGTCTCTCTCTGTCCCAAAAATAAATAAGCGTTGAAAAAAAAAAAATTTAAAAACCTGTGGCAATATGCCAAACTAATGCTAAAGAATCATCTTCATAGAAATGTAAACATCCTTTCTTGAACGATTTATAGTTTAAATTTCACAGTATTTTTTGCTTACTATATTTGAATTTTTTGTTTATATTTTTATTATATATTTCTGAAATTATACATTATATATCATTTTATTTGTATTTGCTTACCATAGCAAACAGGTAAAAAATATGGGTTTGTCAATGATTATTAACCAGTTCACGAACCAGTTTTGCTCTCGTTTTCAAATTGCACACCATCAGGTGTTATGACAGAACTGACAATATATTGATAGTTATTGATACTTAGGAATGGTTAGTATTTATAAATGTTTAAAGATGTCGTGGTCATTTATTGGTGCTTAAAATGTCCATTGTTGTTGTATCCTACGTAGTGTCTTAGTTAAAATAAGAAAATAGAGGTATTCAAATAGGCCTATTTTCCATGTGTTGGAGTGACTGCATATAGGAATGGAAAGACTTGGATAAATTCCAAACTATTTTACATTTATGGTTTCCTTTCTTCACATGTATTTGCTACCACATCCATGTAAACTAGTTAGGTCATCATCACTTCGCAGAAGTTTCATTCTCAAAAGTTCTTCATCATTTCATTCAATAGATATTTATTTAGTATCTGCTATGTGCCAAGCACTATTGTAGATGCTTGGGATATATCCATGAACACTGACCTTGGGATATATCAGTGACCACTGAGAGAGATAGATGATAAACATGACAAATAAATAATGTAATGTATTAGAAAGTGACAAGTATATGAAAAATAGAGAAAAGTAAAGGAGATGGTTAAGGTAGGCTTCCTTGAGCAAAGGTGTGAAGGAGGTGAACTCTCCAGGCTGTTATGTTCAAGAGACATCAGGGAGCCCAGAGTGGCTAGAGTAAAAAGAGCCAGATGGGGGAGACCAGAAGATAAGATCTGATGGTATTGGCAAGGATAGTTACTTTCACACTAACTGAGATAGGGTTGGGACCAGAGGGGAACAAGGCCTGACCTGGGTTTTAGCAGGCTCATTCTGACTGCTGCATTTAGAAGAGACTGAGGCCAGAGGGAAGCGCAAGAGAAGAAATAGGGGGACCAGCCCAGACGCTGTTGACGTCATCCAGGCAAAGATGGAAGCGGTGTGCCACATGACAGCCAGGGGGGAGATGAGGAGTGGCTAATTCTGGGTGTGTTGTGAAAGCTACCATCCACTGGATTAGGGTTTGAGAGAAAGAGGGGTGCTGAGGATGCCTCACGTGTTTGCCTTGGTCACATCTAACTTGAGATGAAAAGGAGCAGGCTTTGGAGTAGGAGGAAGACTGGGGATTGACCATCACATTTCACAATGTGGAGGCCCTTGATGATGAGCAACTCCATGGAGTGTCAGAGACAAAAGCCTGACTGGGTTTAAGGGAGAAGAGAGGAGGGAGAATTGGAAATCATGAGTGTAGATGGCTCTTTCAAGTGTCATCAGTGGACTTCTCAGAATCCTTATTTTCTTTTACCTTTAACAATACTGTCCTTTGATTATCCCCTTCTTGAAAGAGTATTCTCCCACAGCCTCTATAATCTTACATCTCTGAACACAAACTTTCTGTTTCTCTTACTGATGGGCATTGAGTACCCAAGGACCTGGAAGGATGAACAGTGGTTATGCCAGACACATTTGGGACACAGAAGGAATGGGAAGAAGGGCATTCCAAAGAGAAACCAAATGAGAAAAGGCACGAAGAGGTACACGTGTTTAGGAACAGTGAATACTGGTTCTGGTGTGGTTAGCATGTGCTTTATACAGGGACCAGAATGAGTGCAGACCAGGCTAGGGAGAAAAAGGAGAGTTTTAGGGCAGGCAGTGAAATCATCTGGAGGCTGTTCCAGAAGCCTAATCCGGGCAGCAGAGAATAAAAAATAAGACACTACTGACAGACCTACAAGTGGCCACCAGGGAAACTGGCTGTCGATGACAAATGCTGGAGGTAGGGTCAGAGGTGAAGCTGGATTTTCAATCCTGAATCACTACAAGAAGAATGTCACCTTTTAAAAATATGGAAAGTGGAAGAGTGGTGGGGAAAATGTAACAGGAAGATGGTGGGTTCAGTCCATCATGAACTGAGCTGGCGGCGTTAGTAGAAGCTCCAGGTAAAGACAGCCACAGCCAACAGACAACTATATTAAAGCTCAAAGAAATGTAGTTGGGGTATCATCCACACAGAACTATCAGCTGAAGGTTTGTGTGAGAGTGTAGGAAGTGAAGAGAAGAGCATGTGTAAGGAATGGGGGAAGGGAGAAGGTCAGAAAGGGGAGTGGCCCCAGAGCCAAGGAAAGGGGAGTGTGGGCATGACAAGGTCAGCAGCCCTGCCTGTCCAGGAGGAGACCTGAGACACAGCGGGCTCTGGTCTCCCAGGTCCCCAGTGTCTGCTACAGTTCCAAGGTGACCCAGAGGGCATGGCCAGGTGCAGAGGAAACAAGTGCTGGGGTCCTCTGCAGAAAGGACACCTGCACCATGTGTCTGATGGCTTGGAGGGATGGCAAGAAGAAAGGGACATTTGTGCACTGAAACAAAAGGATAAAACTCTTCAATACAACCAGGAACAAATAGCTGGTGAGATTATATCAAAGTGATAGGATTTTTCCATCTTAAGCTTTTCCTCTATAATTTTTTTGAAATCCTGGAACCTATAGCCCCTAAATATTAACAGAAAAAATCATAAATAGTTGATCATCTTAGCTTATTAGCTTTTGTTTTTAAAAGGAATGTTCATTAATGATTTTCTTAATATTGCATGTACCTTTCATTCTGTTTTCTGCCAGAGAAAATGTTCCTAGTTCCCACAAAAAAATAAAATTCATCAATATTTTATTGTATTCTACAAAGATCATCTTGGCTGCTACCATATAGTCATTATATTATTAAATTTCTGAATTTAAATATTCAAAGAATGTTTTGCGATTGACATTCAGCCATAAAAGAAATTACATATAATATGTGCATAATATTTTTTTTCAACATTTTTTATTTATTTTTGGGACAGAGAGAGAGCATGAATGGGGGAGGGGCAGAGAGAGAGGGAGACACAGAATCGGAAACAGGCTCCAGGCTCTGAGCCATCAGCCCAGAGCCCGACGTGGGGCTCGAACCCACGGACCGCGAGATCGTGACCTGGCTGAAGTCGGACGCTTAACCGACTGCGCCACCCAGGCTCCCCTGTGCATAATATTTTTTAACTTTGTTCCACTAGCTTTTTTCCAGAGTACCAATGGGAATTATTTCTAGTTGCTAGCTTATATTCCTACATAAAAATAGAAATCTGCAGTTGTAATCAAGGAGAAACTTGGGAAAACATAATTGGTTCTATGGTTTATTATATATCTACTTATCTCACCACTAAAATAATTTAGGAATAAAACATTTAAATATCTGAAAAACATGAGTTAAGTTGCCTTAAAATAAAATCTTGGGTCTACACTTAGAAGGAACATATGTCAGGGTGCCCGGGTGGCTCAGTCAGTAAAGCGTCTGACCTCGGCTCAGGTCATGATTTCACGGTTCTTGAGTTCGAGGCCCTTATCGGGCTCTGTACTAACAGCTCGGAGCCTGGAGCCTGATTCCGATTCTGTGTCTCCCTTTTTCTCTCTGCCCCTGTCCCTGTCACACTCTGTGTCTGTTTGTCTCTCTCAAAAATAAATAAACATTAAAAATTTTTAAAAAGAAGGAACATACATCAACATAATCATTTAACTAAAGTGAATAGTATAATAGAATTTTATAAACATACTGTTTAAACTATTAAAAGTTTTATTTAAAGTGTGCTTTTTTTTTCAAATCTATTTCGAATTTTGCTCCATACCAGTGCTGCCATAGTGAGATAAATAAAGATGGCACTTTTATGAAGCAGACAGCCTCCCCTACCCTCTTTCTCCTTCAGTTCTGGACTCAGTGAACTTGTTCTGGTCTAAGTCAGAATTTGACAACTAGCTTCCTTGTTGGAGTTCCTGTTTTCAAAAATGGTTACTTAAACCAAACCTGTTACGGAAACCAACCAATAATGCTGGATAAATTTTTTTGAGTCCATAGAAACATTCAAGAACCAAAATGACATGAAGAATTACCAGGATAAATACTAGGAGAAGACGAGAAAGGTAAACAGAGAATTCAAAATCACTTTTGTTCTTAAGATATTTGACAACCCAGATGGAAATGGAGCTGTGTTTTGATAATGTGGAGGAGTAAGGGGAACAGAAATGTAAAACACGAGTGCCTGCCAAAGCCCAGGAGCCTAACGGAGATGCCCACCTCACTCAGCAGTGGACGTGTTTCCTGGGACCCTGAAGACGGTGCCCAAGGTTAAGGTGAGCCAATCAGTCACCACCCCCAGGAGACTGTGGGGGTGCACTGCTGTAGTGTGAGAAGAATAAGGGGAACTCATGCCCGTTGTCTCTGCCCAAATTCACCAAGATGATCCAAGAGAACCCAAACCACGAATTTAATTTAAAATAATATCAGAAATATAAAAGTGCCAGAAATACCAAAAACTTTAGGGAGAAAACTAAATGGCATTTGCATGGCATTAAAGCATATCAAAGTAAATGGAGCCCTGTGCTTATGTTCATAGATTGGAAACTCGATAATGGAAAGATTCAGTTGTGATTTTGAGCCAAACTTCAACATGTTTATTTCTAGAACTCGATTGGCTTATTCTAAAATTGTTATGGGCATGCAGAAGTCAAGAATAAACAAAGACTCTTCTAGAAAAACAAGAAGAGAGAGAACTTGCTCTCCAGATAGCAAGATTTCTACAAAGCTAGAATAACTAAAACAATATGGTATTGGTATTCAGGTTGACAAAACCACTGAAGCAAAAAGAGCCCAAAAATAGACCGTAAATAAATAAGATTTCATACAATTACTGTTCATAATGGCCCACGTGCCACAAATGGCCTTTATGAATCTTACTAACATGGTAAGAAGTGAGATGGGAATGAGCTTCCATTCATATGAAGTTCAAAAACAGGAAAAATCCAACCATATTGTTTAAGGATTTTTTTTTTGCTATAATTAATATTTTATTCTTCCTTTCTAAATTTTTTTTTTCAACGTTTATTTATTTTTTTGGGGACAGAGAGAGACAGAGCATGAACGGGGGAGGGGCAGAGAGAGAGGGAGACACAGAATCGGAAACAGGCTCCAGGCTCTGAGCCATCAGCCCAGAGCCTGACGCGGCGCTCGAACTCACAGACCGCGAGATCGTGACCTGGCTGAAGTCGGACGCTTAACCGACTGCGCCACCCAGGCGCCCCTTATTCTTCCTTTCAATGCTTCTTAAAGGCTGAAATATATTAGACAAAGAAATCTTTGATAATATAAGTGCTAATTCTCTGCAGACAACCATATAATCCTTTAAGAAATCACATAAACAAGATAAAGGTTTCTGCAGCCTACAAATGCCTCTTTGGGGAAAAAAGAAAAAGGGGTTTATCGACAACAATTTAATAATAGTTTTAAAAAATGGTTTTCCTGCCAAACTTTAATGTGTAGTAAATGAACCCATCATCTGTTAGAGCAGTGAACCCAAGTCAGATCAAGAAAAGTAGAACAGTTATGAAGAAAAGCAAGGGAATTAGTACTTAAAAATTCAGCATAATGGTGCATTGTGAGAGAGAGTAGTGGGGGCAGGTGGATGGTAGGGCAGTCCTTCTGAAATACTGATAACATCTGTTTTATTTCTTGTCCTGGGTGGTAGTTACACAGGCATTGACTTCATTATTGCTCATTAAACAGTACCTATATGTTTATGTACTTTTCAGTGTGTGTGTTATATTACACAGGGTTTTGTTCTTTAAAGAGAAAAATAAAATGGAAACAATAAAAACAACCTTCACCCAGTGCAGAGGACTGAAGGGGCTTTTGTCTGGGACCATAAGACGGTAATACGGAGCTGTGGGTCGTAAGGATTGCTTTCTGACGGTTCTCGGAAGGATGGTGGATGTCCAAGACTCTCAGTGTAACTGCGGCTTGATGGCAGAGTGAGCTGCTTCACTGAGGTGTGTGGGATGCGGTAAGGGCAGAGGGCACCCGAAACGCAGCAGGATAGCATGGAACCAAGTGGTGGAATCAGGTCAGACACTTTCCAAAGTTCCAATTAGGCATGGCTAGTGAAATGAGCCGTGAATCGAGCTTCAGTCTACAATGGTCTTATTGCATGGTTTTTACCTTGTGGGCCTCAGTTTTAAAGTCGATTCGTGTGAGTTCTGAAATTAGAAACTCGTTTAGAATCTCTGCTTCCGACTTAGTTCTATTCAACACACATCCACGTAATGAGGATGCTGAGAGGTCGTCCCGAGGAAAAAAGCAAGGAGGGAAGTTCCGTGACAGCTGTGCGTGACCAATAGGAGCCTAAGGCATTCTTATTTTTATTCATGGATTTGCTTCAGGGTTAAGTATAAAGAACAACGGTGCACGAGAAAGCTATTCCTTTATTAACGTGGAAAGCAAGTATAAGTAACAATACTGTGCGGTAGGAAGCGTTATTAAGAAATAGCCATGTCCTAGCATATCGCGTGAACTTCAAAGGGAGAGGAAATGCCCCCACCTCTGCCCTCCCCCCCAAAGAAGACCCAGAGAAACAGGAAATACATAGTTACCAAAAAGCTACGTTGTTTGAGAATGGGGTATGGGGGAACAGAATTCACAGTTACTGTCAGTAGTACAAGTTGGAGGGGGAGAGTCCGTGGGAAATAGACTTCATTCAGCATTTCAGGAGCATTATTAGGAACCTCGCTCCCAGGGAGTCTCTCCTTCTGCTACTCGTGGCCCCTGGGATCTCTTCCCACAGCCAAGCCAGTCTGGAAGCCCAGACACCCACACATCACGAGAGAGATTAACGGTGGTTTTAAGCCACTGGGTTTCAGGGTTAGCATGTCACACAGCAAGAGGTGACCCATAGAGCAGGCCAGTTTGGAAATGAGGACAAAGAACAGGGCTCACAAGCAAAACTGCCAGGCAAGCACCGAGAACATGAACATGACAGATGTAAGCAAACATCCATGCAGAGCCACTGGGCTCTCACTGCAGTGCTCCCCATGTGTGCAAGAGGAGGACATTTCATTGACGCAGAGCTGCGAGGCCTGGAGTCAGATGGCCCAGCACGTTGGGACACGTGTTTTTCTCACGCTCTGCTGCGCAGTGGGAAACACCAATCTAACTGTGCTGGGGGCGGGGGGGGGGGGGGGCAGCGGGGGCAGACCACCAGGTCCTTGTCCTTGGTGATCGCCCACCAGTATTTCCAACACCAGTCCCTCCGGGGAAGCCTGTGGACCCCCTAAGCCAGGGTGGGCAGCCCTCCCAGGCACCCCGGGACTTTTCAGTGCTGTGATGGCCCTTTGACTCCCCTCCCTGGCCGTCTGCAGGGGAGGGGGGGTACTGACATTCCCTGCCTGTACCTTGGAGCCACGTGGGGGGCGGGTGAGGCAAAGGGACCAGATCCACTGGCCTGGATGATCAGAGCACTCAGGGCAGCGATCTCTCTGCTGAACCTCGTTGCTTCACGATGTGCAAGATTTTCTTAACACGCGATATAAAAGAAGGTTTTAGAAGACATGCTGATGTGATCCTTTTCATGAGTATCAGCGATCTGCAAACACATGCAGTGTTTCAAAACCTTTCTTCAATTAGTAGTTCTCACTCTGTCCTCTGCCTCACCGCCCCCGTGTTAACTCGCTCCCTTTAGAACACGTGTGACTCCCCACAGTGAGTCTCTAGATGGAGGGAGAGTTTGGCGGTGGTGCCTGGAGCTTTGACATTTGAAAAGGCCCCTCAAGAGCCGAGGGGTGTAGGAGAGGAATCCTTCCCCTCCCTTCTGTTTCCCTTGAGAATCACTCTTAGTCGGGTGACACCGGCACCCCCAAGTCCTCCCAGCTTACAGCACTGAGAACTATTTGAGAAACCAGTGTAGGCTTCTCTCAGAAGCAGAAAGGCCTGTGTCCTCAGAGATCATGAGTCCATCTGGTGTTCCCACATTTCCGTGCTAACCTCACCCAGGCCGTGCGAATGCCTTGTGGATGATGAAGATGTCACAGGCCTGGCAGAGTGACTGCGGCCCACACGATCTACCAGCTCCAGAGGTCCCTGTGAACTTGAGCGAGCTTGCTTTGGGCCCCAGTATAAATGGCAGGTAATGATTATGACCCAGACTTTCATGGCATGTCTATAAAACAAAGAGCTCCTATGTTATAAAATTGAGGAAGCTCCGTGGTTTCCCATAGCAATAAATTCAGCTTGCCTTTTTCCTCCTCAGAACTGGCGTTAGGACTTTGTAAAATAAAGTAAGCCACACTATATATGGGGCTGCTAAGATGAAACAAAGGAAAGTATTTTTAGCCCTATTTCTCTTTAACCACATTTACCACATTTCATTACTTTGCTGCCTACTATTGCTCTGTGGTCCCTAAGGAAATAACCAGATGAAATTGAGAATAAAAACAACATAAAGTAGGATATTCAATACGCCAGGTTGCATGTACCCAGTCGGGTCACACAATGATTAAATTTAGCTCTAGTTAACCTGATTTCAAGTGCAGTTCAATCCTGGGGGCTATGAGAAACAATGCTTCTTCCACATTATCAGAAAATAGTTATATTGAAACACATGAGTCCGTGTGTCCCTTCCATATAAGAACATTGACGTGCATCAGACAGGTTCTCCTTTGAGAGACTGCTGAACGTTGTATTTGCAGCAGCAACTTGATAGAGATTTTATTTGGCCAAAGAGAGCATTAGCCCCGTGTCCCTCTCCACACACGCGTACTACCTGCCACATCTCTGCACTGTTGTGCTCTAGGAAGGGGTATAGGGTTCCATCTGGGTATTGGGAACCATGACATTTCTGATAGGCAGCTCCATTTAGACTTAGCATCCCCAGACTTTTCAACTTTGAATGTATTGTATCATTGTTTGAAAAGAGGCCCCAGAGTGTAAACCATCTGTATAGGTCAGAAGGAAGAATTTTCAGATATTTAATTATATAACAAGGCTGTGTAATTTCTTCCTGGGGAGAGGGAGAGTGGGATTTCCAAATCAAACTGGTTCACTTTTGCCTGGACTGGTTTTAATTAACTGGCAATTTTCTGGAAAGTATGGAGATAGACCAGATGTCCTTTCAAGGTCCCTTCAAATCAGCCTGCTCTTTGCTGAATGATAGAATGTAAGAACAGAAGGAGGTCCAGTCCATTCCCTTCACTCAACACTGAGGGAACCAAGATACACAGAGTGAGCATAGTTCACATTATTATTATAATTATAAAGAAAAAATAATGCTGTTGCTTTACAGTCCCATCTTGCTCTTTTTTTTTTTTTTTTTTTTCAAGAAAGAGCACGCATGCAGGACAGAGAGAGAATCCTAAGCAGGCTCCATGCTCATTGTGGAGTCCCACGTGGCATTCAGTCTCACAACCATGAGATCATGACCTGAGTTGAAATCAAGAGTTGGATGCCCAACCGAGCCACTCAGGCGCCTCTCCATCTTAAAAAAACTTAAAAAACTTAAACTTAAAAAAACTTTTTTCATAAAGAAATACCCTGAACTCAAAAGCATTTATATACACATGCAACTTAAAGATTAAAAATAAAGCAAAGACCTTATCCTACCGTCCAAGTTCAGAGACACAGCCTCACTTGTACTCCAGGAAGGGAAGTAACCACCCCCCTCAATACTTTGTTAATCTTTTATTTATAGTTTTTCTTTATAGTTTTACCACATATGTGGCTATATCCCCATACAATATATTTGTAGGTTGTGTGGGTTGATTCAACACCAAGTGCATCCTCTGTGACTTCTTTCTCACATTCATCATTATGATTTGAGGTCCAACCAAGCTGATGCCCTGTTCTTGTCTATTCCTTTTCCTTTTGCTGTACTATCCCATTGCATGAATATACCACAGTCTATCCATTCCACCATTGATGGACTTTGGATTCTTTCCAGTTGGCATTTTTCTTTGTTGTTTTTTTTTTAATTTGTTTTGTGTATGATTTGTATATGTGCAAGTTTCTCAGGCTCTGGAGTTGACACGTGAAAGGAGAGCCAACTTTAAATTGGAAAATGACATTTGAGTTGAGTCTCGGGTGGTGGGAAGGAGGCAGTCATGTGAAGCTTGGGAGCAGAATGTCCTGAGGGGGAGAAACAACAAACACAAAGGCTCTAGGGTGAGAGATCGTGGAGTAGTAGAGGAAGGGCAAGACGGCCCAGGTGGCGGGAGTATGAGAGCCATGGGTGAGCGGTAGGAGATGAGATCTAAGAGAGAGCAGAAGCCACATGGTTTAGACACCATGGCAAGGTAGATGTGTGGGAGGCTGGCAAACAGGCCACTCAGGGTGATGTGTGGAGAATGGGTGGGTCATATATGGACAAGACATCAGGTCATTCTGATGTCATCTAGGTCACCCAAGTGAGACCTGGCGAAGGCTTAGATAAGAAAAGGAGTGGAGATGGAGAGACAGACTGAACTCAGAAATATTTTGGACATAGACACATGAACTTCTTAGTAGGTTGGATGTGAAGGTGAGAAATAGAGAAGTCAGCTTGAGTCCTACATTTTTTCCTTAAAAAAGCAGCAACTCATGGGATTTACTGAGATGCAGAAGGCCAGAGGAAGGACAGACGTATTTTCAAGACATGGAGAAAATAAATATTTTTGTTTTAGCAGCATTAGGCTAGAGATGCCTAAAAGACATCTGGGGGAAAGTATCAGGTAGGCAGTTCATCTGTGAATCTGGAGAAAGGTCTGGCCTAGGGAGGTATGTCTGCAGTCACCAGCATTATCGCTGGTAGTTAAAATCCTGGTAGAAAATAAGATTACCCACACAAGGTGTTGAAGGGAAGAGGTCCGAGTTCTGGCCCTAGGGTACCCCCAACATTCTTGCACAAACTGAAGGAGAAGAGCCACCAAAGAATGTGGAAGTAAGGGAACCAAAAAGTTGGTATTGTGGGACCCAAGAGATGGGACTGTTTCTCGAAGGAAGGTATGCTCGACTGAATGGTGCCAAAAGGTGAAGTACAATTGAGGACAGAGAAATGCACAGACGCGCAGACATGTGGTCACCTTCAAAAATCCCTTTTCCCTGAGGGGTGGGGTCACACCCTCCCAGAGCAGATGCAAGTAAAAACGAGATAAGGAAGTGGAGGCCAAATATAGGACCAGATAAAGGGGAGTCGGTCAGCAACGGGTACAGAGAGGACAGCTGGGGAGGGTATGGGGTGAGAAGGGCTTTTCTTTGTGCAAGATGGAGGGTACTAGAGAGTGTCTGCACCTTGATGGCATGGGTTCTCCAGTGGGGACCTCTGAGGTAGCAGGAGTGTCCTTGAGAAAGTGAGAGGGGCTCCAAACACAAGAGGAGAAGCTGACCTGTGATTTGAGCAGAGGGGCTCGTGAAGATTAATATTCAGGGTGCTCACCACCAAAAAACTTATAACAGTAAATACTTAGAAACCAACATGTCCAGCAGTAGGAGAAGAGTTTCCTAGAAGTTATAGCAGATCTGCAAAATGGAAGGTTACGCAAATCGCTCTTGGGGGTCCTGTGTGCACACAAGTGATCTACAGAAACATACATTCGAATTTTGAAAGGGAAAATACACATCGGTATTACATGTGTGAAAACTTCTGAAAGGAAAATGCATCGGAACATGACCAGTGGCTACTTTGCGTACTGTTTTGGGTGATCTTTCTCTTTCATATACCTTTTTAAAATGTCCCCAGTGTTTATAATGAACATGAATTACTGGTATTTTTAGGAAAAAGACAAATCATGTTAGTATTTTGATGTAGCAACTCACAGCATTTTCTCTTTTGGCCAGACAGCCATTTCCTTTTGCTTGAAATGTGCAAAAATATCACAGGACTGATACTGTTCAAATTTAGGTTAATTCTACGTTGGTTTTCCTTTTTTACTCTTATCTGTTGCATCTCCTCATGGTGTTAGGCATGTTTCACTCTGACATGTGCCAAGTTGTTGCCTATGCTCTTTCTAGAGCACTGGGCGATTGCCCAGATACTTCTAAATAGTCCTGCCAGGAAACATAACAGGGATATTGCCAGTGAAGTCGCCCAGCACGTTAGTGATATGAAGATGGAGAAATAGGAGGGCCCCGGAGCCTTTGAGGAAACCCCAGTAACTCATTTAATCGAGAAATTGCAGCTTCGAGCAGTTGAAGCCACAAGAGCAGATCAGTTTTCCCAATGGAGAATATTTCAGTAACTGCTGGAGCCAGGCTAAGTATATGCTTCCCAGGAACCACGCAGATTCCCAAATAGAATTCAGAGCTGTTGTCAAGTTGGAAGCGCAAGTGGATACCAGGAAACAACTGATGTTGACCACAAGCCATAATCCAAAAATCCTGACCTCATCAACATGGAACCACAAATGTAGTGGTATATTTCCACTAAAATAGGAGTTCATTCATTTGCCACATATTTATTCAGCACCTACCATGTGCAGGAGCTACGCTAGGGGCCTGATACACAATATCACGTGTAAAAGCCACAGTTGCTGCTTCCCCGTCCAGTGGAGAAGATTCACAAATTCGACACGCTGTGAGAATGCGTCAAATGCTACCGCAAAGGAAGCACAATGAACTTTCATGGAAGCAATAGCAGGGGCATGGCTTCCAGAAAGAAGGGAAGTTTAAGCTAGGATGTTTCTATGGGTGAGAATTAGTGGTGTGAACTGGAGGTGTGTGGGCAGAGGAACTGTGTGTGGGTGTGTGTGTGTGTGTGTGTGTGTGTGTGTGTGTGTGTGTGTGAAGACCCAGAGGAAGGCAGGAGAACCCCAAGGAGCCAGAGAAGGTTGGCAGACCTGGAATGCAAGGCAGGAGGAGCAGTGAGAGCAGCTGGGCAGGAGGGACTGGGGATTTAGGTGGGAGGAACACAAGACTGGAGGCGGGGGATCATGTAGGGACTCAGTGGCATGATGCAGAGAAATACACTGGTTAAGAGACATCCAGGAAGTACAGCTGCCAGGACTTAGTGGTTAACTGATATAATGGAAGCTTAGATCACAGCATCCAATCTTTCTCTTTTCTAATATAAGCATTCAGTGCTATTCCTGTCCCTCTAAGCACTGCTTTAGCTGCATCCCACAATTTTCACATGTTGTGTTTTTATCTTCATTCAGCTTAAAATACTTTCAAATTCTATTTAGAAGCTTGCTCCCTAATTTTCAAATATTTGTGGCTTTGGCAGGTCTCTTTCTGTCATTGTTTTCTAATTCAATGCTACTGTCGTCATTCATTTTAAATGTATTTACCAAGACTTGTTTTGTAGCCTAGTATATGGTCTGTGTACTGGGCCCCAAACCCAGTTGATTCCCTTCCCTTTTTTATCTGACTTTACCTTGCCTTACATGACTTATTCTTTGCCTTTTTCTTTTTCAATCCTTCAGTGCATAGGAGTGAAGAGAAGGTCAGGCCTGCACGCATTTCCTGCCGTCTGCGGATTTTTTTTCTCGACACTGCCTGTGAGGAATTATGCACAAACTCCACAAAAGTAAGCAATAAAATATTGGCACGTTGTAGTGCAAATCTATATTTGGGAAAGAAAATTACTCTAAAGAATCACAATCTGCAGAAATAAGACGTTGGCCACAATAATTACAGCCTTTACATTATTATGCAGAGGAAGTTTAGCCTCCCTGGAGCCAGAGCCACATGGTTTCAAACATCTCCTTCCTGGAAGAGGGTCTCTTCCCACTGGGGTGGCTTCCCAGAAGAAAAAAACATTCAGCTTCAAAGACCAATTCAACCTCCCATCTGTTAAGACATTGCAGGAGCTTGAGGATTACAATTGCCATTCTCTCTTCTTTAAGGATAAGCACATATAACTCGGTATCTACCAGGTCTCACCCAGGGCATCACCCTTTATTACTATTGTTCAGTGAGGAAGAGAATCACGTATCGAGCTGGGAACATGAGCTGGGAATTGTGGGTTCTGCCTTGTCTGCCGTGAGTAGCTAGAACATAAGCACAGCCTCTGAATCCACGTGGGTTCTTATTGATATCTAAAGCCATCTCCTAACCCCTCTACCTTTTGCCCTTCTCTAACCAGAATAGCGTCTGGAAAGTGGTTGTTCAACTTCTTTCTCACAGCACTGTAGTCCTGCTAAGTTTCGAGACACTGGTCATTTCTCTCATTACAGAGATGGAATCCTCTTTAATGGGATCAAAGCCATCCTCAGGAAGCCCTGTACAAAGAAGCAACTGATAAAATAAGTGAGGAAATTCTGGAGTTGGTAGTTTGAATTCCTCAAATTCCTTAAAGTCACGAATTCTAGGGAATTTAGTAGTATATAAAGGGAAGAAAGCAAGGAGGATTGTCTTGTCATTCAGAGCATTGCACTTTGAAAGAGGGCGTGGAATAGAACAGGGTCTAAACAGAGGGTTAAGAAGTTGTGTGGTAGCCTGAAGCAACTTTAATTGAGACCAGCTTGAGGGCACTTTTTATTCTCTGTGGAGGGTTATTTCTTCTTGGGGGACTTAAAAACCATGATGTCCACCCACACTCCTTAACTGGAAACTTCTAGCCACATCTGTCCCACATCTGAGAAGATCACGTGTGCCTCTGTGGGCATCTTGAGTGCTGTGCTAACCCTCGCGTTTCATTTTAGTTCCCCCATCAGTCTCCGGTTTTGAATTCCACAAGCCCTGCCTTAACCACAGCCTAATGAGAGAAGATGTCATACATTCTCGAGTGGCAATGTGGGAACCCCCACATCCCATGAGGCTCCCAAGCCAGGGCAACAAGTCAGCTTCTCTGCAAGTGACTATCTGTCCCTGTCCTTAGGCCACCGGCCCTGCTCCTGTCACATCACCACCCAGGAGCCACCAGCTGCTAACGGTTGCCAGGGCCCCAGCCATCATCACGGAGGACTTCGGCAGTAAGATCGTTCTCTAAATGTCACTGTCTACCCCCTCACCGTGCAAGTTCTTTAGTCTGTGCCGGTGCCTTAATGTTGAGCAAGCCTCGTCTGTACTCCAGGTGGATCTGGTAGTTTGATCGGCGCAAGGTAAGACGCGGGAGCCTGGACTGTTTATTCTGGAAGAAATCCAGAAAAGACAATGTGTTTTTGGGAAAGAGTGGTGGAAATTACTGCAGAGGAACTGGCATCCACGGGGCCGGCCCCGGAGGCCGCTTCCTCAGCCCTTGAGAGCAGAGTCGTCGCCCCAAATGTGGACAGTGTGGAGGCTGGGAGACCCCGAGCCAGCCAAGCTACGGGGGGCTTCCTGACCATGGGCTCCGGGCGGTGACGGCGCTGCAAGACCTGTGCTTTCTGTAACCCAGAGTCACAAGAGCCCGGGGCCTCTTTCACAGGGTGTGTTCACACGGGAAAAGGCTTGAACTCTTAGCACACCCAGTGAAGCCTAGTGAGTGGCCCAGCCAGCAGTGCTGGACCAGTGCAGGCGTTCCCCCTGGGGTGGTTGAGGGGATCGAGGGAAGCCTCCGGAAACGGACAGGATGCCGGAAGGTTACAGGTGTATCCGGTCGCTGACCCGAGTGGGGGTGGTGAGGAGACGCTGCAGGGCAGAGGGTGTAAAGGCGGGCTGGGGTCCAAATAGGGGGGCCCTGAAGGGGCTCCGGACTTTATGGGTACCTGGTAACTTTGTAAAGTCAAGGGCAAAAGGAAGAAGGAAGACGTGGGTCTCAACTTCCCCTCCACCCCAGTCATGTGGCCCCTACCGCTTCTATTTCACAGGCTGCTGCTTTCCCTGTAGACACCGAAAAGTAGACTTTCTCACTCTCCCGGCAAGAGACCGCAGTGCAGGAAAATAAAGATGTTTTCCACAGTGGGAGCTGCCAGCGGGGGACTGCTGTCCCCAGAACCCCGCCTTCCATCCTCCAACAAATACTGACTGGGGGTCTACCGTGTTCCAGGGGCTTCCAACGCTAGTTCCTTAGGGAATCAAATCTCTGGTGCCAGGTGAAACGAACCTGACCTGCAATCCGGGACCTCGAGAAACCTGACAACAAAGACACTTGTGGCTTGGGGGAGCTCCCGGAGCCGCCACAAGAGCAGGTGAGTCTGGCGTCCCTGCCTGTGGCTGGAGAACACAGGCGAGCCGTGCGCCCGGTGGGCCCGTGGGGGCCGAGCTTGGGAGCCAAGCCCCGGCCCCAGGGGGTTGTTACTGGGACGTTGTCGCTAGGCCGCGCCACCGGCTCCTTGCGAGCTTGCAGACCACAGACGCAGCACAGGCCGGAGCTGTTGGCGCATCAGACCCTGGATGCGAGTAACCCCGAACCCCGAGTCCAGCCTCGGGTCGCGCGCCCACTGGTCGGTGCAGGCTGCCGTGCCGCGGGAAAATCCGAGCCGAGCGGATCGCGCTCCCGACGGAGGCGCAAAGGACGCACATGGCCACGTCCACGGCGCCCACGCAAGGACCGGCTGCTGGTGTGAGGTCACCGTACAAACCGAGGAGCGGCGCCTTCCTTATTTGCGGGGGACCAAACCCAGGGAACAAGGAGGAGGGAAGAAACGTCGCCCCAGGACTCATGCAGCTAACTGCAGGTGCAGCCGCGGCCCGGCTTCCAGGGACTCTGTAAGAGGAGGTGCAAACTCCGCCACGCATCATCCGCTGGGGCCAGGGGTGAGGCGAGGCAGGTCCCGCTGGTCGGGCAGCGGGGGGCGGGGGCGCGGGCCGGGGGGGGGGGGGGGGGCCCCCCCCCCCCCCCCCCCAGCCCCGCAGCCGTGCCGCCTGGGAGCGCTGGTGATGGGACACACCAGCTTCTCCCTCCACTTCTGGAGCCATGTTCGAATTGTTGCTTTCTTCACAAATGCGCCTCAAATCTGCCGCCCACCGTGCGGTCAGCTCCGCTGGGCGCCGCTCGGGAGGCTCCTTCCTGCCGCCTAGTCCACTGCCTGCCGGGCTTTCAGGCCTGCACTCGTGCGGGCAAGTTTCTTTCGGGTCCTTTAAGATGCAGCCCTGACTGTTTGGAGACGTCAGTCTCACGGTTGACCCGCGGCCCTACTCGCCCACAGTGCAGGCCAGATTCGTGGCCCGAGCGGGGTTGCGGGGTGCGTGCGTGTGCACGGGCGCGTGTACGTGTGCGCGTGTGCATGCGTGAGTGTGGTGAGCGTGTGCTCGTGCGCATGCGTGTGCGCGTGCGTGCGGACGCATGTATGTGTGTGATTGCGTGTGCATGGCTGTGTGTGTGCTTGAGTGTGTGTGCGTGCGTGCAGATAGATGCATGTGTGTACACGTGCGGATGCATGTGCGCGTGTGTGTGCTTGCATGTGTGTGCATGTGTGCACATGCATGTGTGTAGGTGTGCATGCTTTGTGTGGTGGGCAAGGGTGAGGAGGAAAGTGGGGGCAGCTTCTGCTCTTCCCCCCATTGCTCCTTCGTGGCTTACTCTCTGAGACAGGGTCAGGGACAAAGAGGGAACGGGACAAAGCCACAAGGCCGGGTCCTCACGCGGGGCTGGAAGGCTAGCACCCCACCCACCTTGGCGGACCTACCTGCAGGTGCCGCCCCTCGGGAGAGCTGATGCGCCAGCTACTGGCCAGCCACCCTGTGTGTCCAGCAAAGCCTGGTGAAACCCTGCAGCCTTACACCATCAGCCCCTCTGGTGCCTGGTGCAGCGGGGTCAGGGAAGCCTGGAGCTTTCTCTAGCCCCATTGTCCCTGCCTTTAGGAACTAGGACCTCAGGGCAGGTATTACATATGTGATCATATCTGATGTATATTGCATATAGTATAATACACATATAGTTATGTAACTAGATGTCATATATACCTGCCTCTTCACTCCTGTACCTTTGAGAATCTATCTCTTTGGTCAGAAGTGTGTGTCTCTATGTGGCACCACTAAAACCCAGCCCCTGCACCCCCTCTTTCCCTCCCACATGTCCGCTCACTTCCCTGGAACAGGATACACTGTCCCTCCCAGGCCATCAGCTCCTGGAGGGCTGGCCCTGCTCTTAATAGATTGTTTTTGCCCCCAGCACCTGAGGACATATTAAAAGAGCTTCAGAAATCTTGTAACCATTATGTTTAGATATATCATGCACTGTTTGTGTTAATTCCACTGGCTGTATGACCGGCCAGACGGTCTTGTACCGTTAGCTATGCAGCCAGCACAGGCGCGTTTGCAGAATGGAGGAACATTTACTGATTTACTGATCTACTCCAGTAGTAATGTGATTTTAAAAATCTGGAAAGCATCTGGGCAGGTGACATATGACTTCGCATGCCTAGGATGGAGTGGGGGCAAAGTGAGGCAATAAAAAAGAGGTTTGTCTACCAGCAAACCCACTTCCTTTCCGATTCTGCCTTCCAGAGGTCCTGACTCTCCACTCCCCAGTGAGTCTGACCTCCTGTGCTCTGCAGGGTGCAAGCAGCTGTCCTGCGGGGCACCACGCACAGCTGAGAGCAGATTCTCCTTCATACCGAAGAGAAGATTAAAGGCCAAGACAATAGACTGGCGACTCAACAAATATTTATTGAATTAATTATTATTTACTGATGAATTAATTATAACTTTATCAGATAAGAAGACTGATGGTTATGGGTCAGCGTGGCTAAGCCACAGTCCCTGGTCAAACACTGTGTTGCTGTGAACATGCTGTGTAGATGTGGTTATAACACCTACAAGCAGTTGACGTTCAGTAAAGCAGATTAGAATGTGGATGGGCCACACCCAGTCAGCTGGAGGCCTTAAGAGCAAAACTGAGGTTTCTAGGAAAAAAAAGAAATCCTGCTTCAAGCTGCCTGAGTGTGCAGCCTGCCAGCCTGCCCTGTGGACTTCAGACCTGTGGACTGCCAGCCCCACAACCACAGAAGCCAATTCCTTGGAATAAATCTCTGAACATTTATAGGTTAATCCTACTGGTTACTGCTTCCCTGGAGAACCCTGATGGGCACAGAGATCCTCAGCTCTTCTCCTCCACCTTGTTCGTAGAACTAAGTTCCCGGGAAAGAGATTGAAAAGCACATTTCTGGGGAAGCTGACCAGCTCAAGAGGAAGTTCCTAAACACGAATACTGGCGTCACTGACTCCCCCAGTTACAGAGCTTAGCAGGTCTCCCCACGGCGAACCCTACACCCTCAAAAGCCACCCAGATCCTCAGAGCTCACCACCAGCTTCTTAGCCCCAACCCTTAAATCTGAAGATACCAGACATCTGCCCTCTGACAGGAAAGAGAGACCAACACAGGAGACAACCAAGGAAGAAGAAAACTTCAGAAATACTATCTTTGGTATTCTCAGGGAGACAAGGGAACATACTTTAACTGTGAACAAGATACCATTTTGCAAAAAAAGGAAAACTGAGAGAACAACAACAAAAAAAGAACCCTTGATATTAAAATGCCCTAGCAAGATGGAAAACTCAGTAGAAGTATTAGGAAGTAAAAGTCAGGAAATCGAGCAAAAAGAGAAATATGGGAAAAAGGAGAGAAAAGGTAAGAAAAGAGAGAATAAGTTCAGAAGACTAATATCTGAAAAGAAAATGCAAACAATGTGTTTAAGAGAGAAAATCATCAAAGAAATAATTCAAGAAAATTTCCTGGAAATACAAGATATGAGTTTCCTGATGAGAAGGACCCACTGATGGACCCAACTGAGAAGGACCCAACATGATGACTGACATTTCACAATATTGGAGGCAAAAAAAAAAAAAAAGGGGGAAAAAAATCCTACAAATGTCCAGAGAGAAAAAATAGGTAACATTCACATAAGCGGGAATCAGAAAAGCTTCATAACTCAACAGCAGAAGCTAAAAGGCAATGAAGTCAATTCTCCAGTGTTCTGAAGGAAAATTAAATTTCCAATTTAGACGTCTGTGTGAAGCCAAACTGTCAACCAGGCTTCAGAGAGATCAAGACATTTCAGACATGCAAGGGGGACATAGACTAACTCCCGTGCTCCCTTTCTTGGAAAGCTACCGGAAAATGTGTCCCTCCCCCCCCCCCCCCAGATGAGAAAGCAGAAGATGTGGGCTACAGGAAGTAAGACACCCCGGACAGAAAGGAGATGACAGTCTGCCGTGCACCAGCAAAGGGTGGTCCCCGGTTCGAGCCCGGAGGTGACCACAGGCCCGGGCTGAGTAGAGGGATCTCAGACAGGCTCAGAAAAATGAAATCAGGGCTCCCACATGTCTTGAGAGGAGATTTGGACAAATGGAGAACAGTTTGAGGGTGAATTCATAATGAAAACGTGAAAACCAAACAAATGAAAAAAGATAATTACAAAGTTCAGGGAAAACAAAACTTTGTACAGCAAATTGCTCATGGCTCATCTATGAATATTCTTTAGTCATAGTAACATAAATATTAAACCCTGACCTAAACACATCACAGTAGGCCAGAATTGGGTGCTCAGGTGCAGTTAAGTCTCAGGGCACTACGCACTCACCTCTAGACCAACCTGGGGCTCCAAACCCCCTGGGAAAGAATGAGGGAGAGATCCCAACACCATGAAAAAATGAAGGAAAGAAAAATGCTTCAAACTTCTAATGCAAACCATATTCTCTTGTTAGACTTGGAGAACATTTGCCCAGCTCCAGATCTCTGGGCATATTCTCAAGAAACATCACTACTTACATCTATTAGAAGAGCTCCCAGGGAGAGCGTGGTTGAGTACTTAGGATTCCAATTTATATATTATGGTCTCGTGTTTCCCAGCTCAAAATACCACGGTTAATGTATCAACGTGGAAAATGCAGCACTCAAGGTATTTGCTAATGTTTAATTTAATCTTGCATTTCTCTGGCACCTGGAGAAATTAAGAGCCTGGGGAAAATAATGATTAGCAAGCATTTGTGAGTTAGAGTGCCCTGCACTTGCAAAAACCAATTTTAAGTGCTTTTAAGATATTTGTTCTTCAGCACCTCTCAGTGAGAAGTTGGTTCTGCCCCAGGCAAGCTAAGCTATGTGATTCCCACAAACCCCATGGACTATGTGAGGGAGATCAGAACTTTCGCGGTCTTCTGGTTTGTCTGTGTGTGTGAAACTTGGGGAGCACTTCCTCAGCACAAAACTGTGTATAACCCAGTATCAGGTGGTGACTGCAGCCATCCACCCAATTAGCAACAAAAGAGGAAACCCTTCACCCCAGTGGACTTTCCAGACAGAACGTGCAAAATACTTGTATTATTTTCCTCTGACATGTAAATCCTGTCTTCTTCATACTTCTACATCTCATTCGTAACATTTAAATAGTATTGTGTAGAAACCCATATCCTTTTATTTATTTTTTAAACTTTTTTTTTTTTTTTTGAGAGAGAGAGAGAGAGAGGGAGGGAGGGAGGTGCAGAGAGAGGGACAGAGAGAATCCTGATGTGGGGCTCGAACTCACAAAACAGAGATCATGACCTGAGCCCAAATCAAAATTTGGACACTTAACCAACTGAGCCCCCAGGCACCCGGAAAGCGCCTGTGACCCTTTCTCTTCAAAGTAGCTGCTGGTGTGAGGGATGCCCTGGCAGGTCCCCAAAAGACCACAGCATATGTGATGGTGTTTCTCAATCTCTTCTATTTTGAAAAGAGGAGGTAATGCTTAATATAAAAGGAACCCATTGCTGATTGTGGAACTTGATGTGTCCACATGGTTGGGGAAGGCAAGAAGAAGGATCCTGCTGTTGAATCTCCCAACTGAGGTGTGGAAGGTGGCCCTGAAGGTGACACTGGCTTCTGCAGACCAGATTCCCTGAGTGTCAGTTGGGGTCCCGACCGGCATCTCTCTCCAGGTCCCAGGTGACACTGCACGGTGGGTGCAGGGACCAGGGCGCTCAGAGCCTCGGGGCGGACAGCACCTTTCCCAGGTAACCTCAAGCAGGTGTAGAAGCATCTAAAGCCTGACTTCCGTCCTTAACCGCTGTTGTCAAGTGCGGGGTTTGATCCATGGTGTGTGTGGCAATTCCCACCCCCACCCCCATATTTCAATTCGCTGTATTTAAAGTGTCTAAGCAGAATCATTTGGGAGAAAGAAAAGCTTTGAAGGGTAAAAAAAAAAAAAAAAAAACAGAGAGAGAGAGCCTATGAACCGCTTTGGATTTTGTTTTTAAATTGTTTTTTTAAAGTTTATCTGTTTTTGAGACAGAGAGAGACAGAGCATGAACGGGGGAGGGTCACAGAGAGGGAGACACAGAATCCAACACAGGCTCCAGGCTCCGAGCTGTCAGCACAGAGCCCGACGCAGGGCTCGAACCCACAGACCGCGAGATCATGACCTTAGCCGAAGTCGGATGCCTAACCGACTGAGTCACCCAGGCGCCCCGGATTTTGTTTTTAAAGAAAATTTCCTAGGCTTTGAAACTGTCACCTTTAAGACAGAATAGTGCCCATATATTCCTATTGAGAATCTCCAGCTACCCAAGCAACATGTGTTTTTTTTTTTTTTTTGCATCCTAATCTTAAAATTCACATTTCTTAAACAACCAGTGGGCTTATTTTCTTTCCAGCCACAGAGTTATGTAAAGGCTATTATTTTTCAAGAGAAGAGCACAGGACAATTAAAGAAGCCAGGCTAAAAGAGGAAGAAGCCAGCAGAGGTAGCAATAATTTGAAGTTCTAGCGCATTTCTGCGCTTAAAATAATCCACTTCCAGACTGCCCCACTTGCCACAGAACTACGTCCTCACTGCCTGCCCACAGCTGCAGTTGGGGAACAGAACCAGAAGGAACCGTGCTCCTCGGCAAGTAGCCCTTCCCGTCTGTTTCCTCTGCCAACACTGCAGGTTTCTCACGCAACCAAAAAAACGTAAAAGTGAGGCAGAAGGTTGATAATAGAGAAACCAAGATAAAAACCAAAGAAGGTGGGGGGAAGGATGTGGGCTTTCTGCAGATAGTGCAGCCATCATTCCAGAAGCGGAAAATCAACGGCCAAGAGAAGTTTTTTATTGGACTTAGGCAACCAACACCTGACCAGTCATGTGGCCACTGGATGTAGTTCCTGTGTGGGGTTGGGATGTGAAATTAGAGGAAGCAGCATGGGACTCGCCTCCAGGATCTCACAGTGCACAAGGGGGGATGGTAGATACAACGCTGGCCCGCCCGCCCTACTTTCCAGAATCTGTGACATGTTGCTTTATGTGGCATAAAGCACTTTGCAGATGTGATTAAGTTAAGGATCTTAGGTGTGGACACCATCTTGGAATATTTGGGTGGGTCCAATGTAATCACAAGGGTCCTTCTAAGGGAAAGAGGGAGGAAGGAGTGTGAGAGAAGACGTGATGATCAGGCAGAGGGAAGAGAAAGAGAGATTTGGAGATGGTACATTTCTGGCTCAAGAAAGAGGAAGAAGCCATCAGCCAAGGAACTGAAGGGCCTCTAGATGCTGGAAAAAGCAAGGAAATGAATTCCCCCCTAGAGCTCTTGGCTGGAACACGATCCTGTCGACATCTTGATTTTAGCCCACTGGGCCCATATCAGACTTCTCCACAACTGTAGGACAATTAATCTAGGTTGTCTTAAGCCACTACAGTGTGGTTATTTGCTACAGCAGCAGTAGGAAATTATACAGAAGGAGAAGAAATTAGAGACAGTATGTGCCCCAGCCTGAGTCCCCCCCACCCAGCCCCCGACCAGGGCACCAGCCTGAGTGCTCCCATAGTCACAACCTGATCAGGGCCTAGAAATAATAGTCTCTCCTTACCTGTCGCAGGGTGGTCACTGACCTCTGTTCCCACTTGCGGTGGGAGCGCCCTGCCCAAGGGTTTTCTTCACTCCAAAAACATGTGGTTGGCCCCTTCACCTCCATTGTTGACCACAAATCTTAAGAGACTCAAAAGGCCTTATGCTAGTCTGGAGAGATTGAATATTGTGGAAATCCTACTAGAGTATTTTTCAGTACCTTCCCCTTCTGTGGAAATAGGCGTGAGAATCAGCTCCTCCGGTGGAGAACCCACTTAGAATTCTCCGTCGGGCTAGGCACGTAGTGTTTATGCTGCACCCACATGGCAGCAACTGATTAGAGACAGAAAGATTTACTCACAAGAGACACTTTCCAATAATACTACGAAAAATACATGTGGACAAGCCCTATATTAAGCATTTGGAACAGAAAAAGTTGATTTAAAGCCATTCACTGCAGGAGCCAAAAATAATTGCCCAAGAGGCTTGGGATAAAGCCAAAGAAAGCACAGAGCAAAGCCCACAAGAAACACACAAAGCCTAGATGTACATTAACTTCAAAATGTGTAGCTTACAGACCAATTGAAGTTGGTCTTCCTGTCCTGCACCCTATTTAGAAAGAAACCAAAAAGGAGGTAATATACAGCCCCCCAAGTGCAAGTCAAGAGGTGGCTCAGGGTGTAGTCTGTACAGCAGGTTCTTTATGTGGCAAAGACAGAGCAGACTTCGTTTACTCTGCAGGCTTTGATGGCAGGTGTGGCCACAAGAAAGATGGCCAGGTGGTACCGGACGGAGCTCTGCCCATCGTTTGTGCCCCAGGGTGCCAAGTGCCGTGCTGAGCAGTGGGGACCCGCGGGTGCACGCGGCCGTCCTGCACACCGCAGACCCCCACCAAGTGAGAAGGGGGTCGCAAGTGGAGCAGCTGCAGAGATGTAAGTAATTAGTTACAATCTCGAATGTGGAAGAATGACTTGAGGCCCCACGGGACACACTTGGTGCACAATTGGTGGTCTTGTCATACTCAGCAGATGGCTAAGCTAGAGTGTTTAGGTTGACGAAACTTTGAGGGTGGGCTGGGGAAGAGAGGGGCTGATTAAGCTTAAAGGATTTGGAGGGAGTGAGAGAATAAATAGGGATGAAACAGCAGCTGTAGGGAAAAGAATCTTGAAGAAGGAACAGAAAATTTTTTTTTTCAACGCTTATTTATTTTTGGGACAGAGAGAGACAGAGCATGAACGGGGGAGGGGCAGAGAGAGAGGGAGACACAGAATCGGAAACAGGCTCCAGGCTCTGAGCCATGAGCCCAGAGCCCAGAGCCCGACGCGGGGCTCGAACCCACGGACCACGAGATCGTGACCTGGCTGAAGTCGGACGCTTGACCGACTGCGCCACCCAGGCGCCCCGAACAGAAATGTTTTAAAGGGGATTTTAGGAATTCATGTGATTTGCAATATAACATCCTTCTCCGGCATTCGGTAAAATGAACATCACTCATCCATCCTTCTGGAATTTGTGGGAGAATTTTGAGGTGCATAGATGTGCAGGTTAACCGCCTAACACTCATTTGGGCAGCGCAGAATGGAAATACCCAAGATAATAGTGGCTTAAATGAAATACACATGTATTCTTCTCTCATGTAAAGGAAGTCCGTAAGCTGTCCAAGGCTGGTCCATGATGGTCCATGATGATAAGATCCAAGGACCTTGCAATCTTCTGCTCCATTTTTCAAGAGGTGGCTTCCATACTCAAGAACACTTTGTTATCCAAAATAGCTGCTGGAACTCCGTTCATCACATCCGGCTTCCAGGCAGCTGGAACCTGGAAGGTGCGAAGGGCCAAAAAAGTGTACCAGTTCTTTTCAATAAAATTCGGATTCTATTATTAAGGAAGAAGAGAATGGCCATTGCACACCAGCAGAGCGGTCTCTCACACACTTACTCTGGCCCGAGATCGGGAGTGGAGTGAAAAGCAAGAATCTCTGTGAGTTCCTAATGTGACAAAGCTGCCGTGAGGAGATACAGAAAGGTCCATGAGCCATAGAGGTAAGTGGGCTGGATTCTGGCTGGGCAAGCGCCGAGGGGTTCCCCAGGGGCTCCCATTGGAATTGAGTCTTGAGGCATGAACAAGAGTGTGCGGGCAAGAGGGGGGTGGCACTGCGGCAGGGAAAACGGGACGCCCCCACTGTTCAGACTGGCATCCCTCCGGCTCTGACTCCACCTCTGTCCTCTTCCTCCCGGCACATTTCCGGGAGGGGAGACTCGTGCACCACCGGCCCCTGCCCCAGCGCCCTCAGAAGCGACCACAGCTTTCTCCGTCCAGCTCTGCAGGGGCCAGGGCGCGTGCTGCCCTCCCATCCTCTCCCCACCTCCATCACTGCTGCCTCTCCTTCTGAAGAGGGGCCAACTCCCATTTTTCTCTCCCAGACACTTCTGGAAATTCCGCCCCAAGTGATCAAGGATTCGAACCAACCTGCTCAGTGGAACCCACATACCCTCGGCTACCCAAGAGCTCTCACTTGGAAAATTAGGCTCTACGTGTATGAAATAAAGCTTTGGTTTCTGTTTTGGGGTGGTGGGGGTTGTATTTTTTGTTTGGTTTTGTTTGGCATGAGGCACAGCAGCAGGGTCTCTGCGCTCTGGTCCAGAAGTTGTAGCCGGATTCTCGCACAGGGAGTCGTGACATGAGGCTTTTCTTTCCGGGAAGCGACTTTATTCCTGCCGGTAATGCCCAGATGGGTTCGTACCCAAAGAGCTGAGCCCCGAATGCCACCTGGCGTAGTTTTTCAATATATTTTTTACTTCTTTGTCTCCCATATCTGGTAGCACGCAAACATGGAGTCTGATTAAGTGGTCTCATGTTACAAGGTCATGAGGGATGTTGTCACGTGGGCATATAGCCAGGTTGCCTTGAAGTTTGTTTTTTTTTTCTTAAGGAGGGGATCCTACCACGTTCCCCCCTTTAATGCTCGGACCCCTCTATTTAGGGTCCAAGAGCATGATCTTGGTTTAGAGGTTTATATTTTTATAACATCATTACACGAGTGGCCCTCTTTTTTTAAATTATGGCTCAGTGAGACTGGAGGCTGACCGTACCACCAGTGGACCAAAGGAGGGTGAGATTAAGCACCCTCCTAAATGAGGAGGAGCATTGACTTCCATGAGGGTTTTGGATCCCCAGAGAGTTGAAAAACATCCTCCAGATAACTTGGCGGGGTTCCAACCGGTCCAGGTCCGGACGGGGACGTGAGCAACCTTTTTTCTTTGATCTGTGATCTCCTCTAGGACTCTCCCGTCATCATCTCTCTGTGGGCAACAGGTGCTCAGGTTAAGGTTTCCACAAACACCTCTCTCAGAAGCAATCAGGTAATCTAAGGCCAAGTAATCTCGATAGATGGCGTTGAACATTTGGGTTTGCTGCTTGGCTGGTAAGTTAAGGCTTCTGGCAGTTTCATTGGTTATAATTTCTATTAACTGCTTGCAGTCTGAGTATGCAGTTTAGCACGTAAATGGGGTGCGGCCATCCTCTGCCGAGGTGGCAGGCCCATAATACTGGATTATATGCTCGGGAGGCCATCTATTATCGTTTTAACTGTTAATTTTTAAGGCACGCTGCTTTCTTTGAGTCTCCCCGTGCCCATACATTTGGACTCCCAAATGTTTCCCTCTGGCAAGTGGGAGCAGGAAGAAAGATGGACGAAGAGTTCCCAACACATATGACCCTGACCAGACTGAGGAAAGTACCGCATAGGCTGTCCTTTCATATACCGAGCATAGTTCACCTGGGACCCACCATTTGATGGCTGCATTGACATTGTCTCAGGCCTCTCGGAGATGATAGAAGTCAGAAGAGGAGTGGGGATCTGGTTCAAGGTGATCTGGGGGTCCCCCACCATTGGGTTTTCTGGGCAGTCGAGTTATAAAATCTTTGGCCTAGGCATGTTAAAGTTTTTAACAAAGGCGACGATGAACTTTTTCCCCACAAGGCAAGACGGTTTTTCCCAATAATTGAGTTTTTGAGAAGCCAAACCCCGGTAGTAGAACTGGGGTATTTTGCTTTAGTATAAGGTTTGTGGGAATCTAATTTTCTAGTCTCTTATCGCCACTGTTTCCCCGTGTTGGTACCAACGAAGCATCCTGTCCACAAAAGGAGGGTGAGTGTTAACAGCCAAGGCGGCCTCAGCCAATCCTATGACAAAGAGTAGAGCAAGAATCACAATAATAGTGGGCAACAAGGCGTGACAGTGCCTCACAGCAAGGAAGCCTATAAAAATACGGACCGTCTTTTGTTTCATTGGACCGTCGGTTGGTTCCTCAAGCTTCTGCCGTGCGTAGATCAGTCAGCTTCCGGAGGGACTGAAGCAGGACTGTGGTCTCCCGGGGCCTCTGGAGTTGCAGAACCTTCCGTGTGGTCAGCTTGCACGGCGTGGATGGATCAGGAAGGCACTCCCAGTTTCGAGATGCCGGCTTCACTCTGCCGTAGTGAACCCAGGGACCCGCTTCGGCTACTTTCCTGTGTAGGGGTGGACAAAATGACAGTGAACGGTCCTCTCCAGAGGGGTTTAAGGGGTTGGACACTCCACTCCTTCACCCATACAGCATCTCCTGGTTTAAAGGGGTGAGTGTCTGTGGTCAGACTCACAGGTAATCGCTCCCTGACCCAGCGGTGTAAGGTGGTTAGGGTAGAGGCAAGGGCTCACATCTGTTGTCTTAGGGTTAGATTGCCTGTCTCATTTAGGTCCCCCCCCCCTTATGCCCTTGATAATGGGGGGAGGGTGCCCATAAAGGATCTCATAAGGGGAGAACCCGTCTGCTCCTTTAGCCTCCCGCCTGCAGCTGCCGTCTGCCTCCCTGAAGGCCCCTTCTCTCTCCCTGCCTAATGTTCACCCTTTCCCTATTCATTGCTCCCCTGGAACAGGGCCTGTGTCTGCTGTGAGGGAACAGGGACGATGACTGTCCTGGCTTCTTCAAGCTGATAAGGGACGGTGTAAGGGTACAGCAGTTAGAGTCTACCCAAGGGTCGGTCGAGTGGTCCCCCGTGTGGTTTCACAGGAAGGCTGGCGGGCATGAGGCGGCATCACCATCAGCAGACACAAAGGGAAAAACGCAAAGTGAAGATTATACGGACCAACAAGATGGCATCTTAAGATAATGTCTACAGTTTGCAAACCTGTCAGACAACCTAGGAGAGACCCTGACTTCGCAAACAACGTAGGTCAAGGACTCTCTCGTTAACCCAGGTGATGGAGAAGCAGGCGAGCAGTAAGTAATCAATGGTGGCCCTATTTCTGAGAGTTTGGCCCTAACTTAATTAAAAAAAAATTTTTTAAGCATCTGATGTTTGTGAGGTGTTATTTAGAGTTTTGTTGAGTATAAGCAGACAGTCTGCTTTATTTTGATGTATAAAACTTTTAGGTAAATTTTTAGCAAGCCAAACCTGGGTATTATTTTACAAAGCGGAATTTGTGTTACGTTTTGTGCCTTTTCTGTCTTGTAGAGGAAGGCCTTTACCCAATTAGTAAAAAGCATTAACCCATACAGATGTTGGAATGTTTTGTTTCGGTTTTGTTTTTTTACCTTGGCATCTGAGTGAGACCTAATCGTTAGTCTTTCCTGGATAGTCTCCAGTTTCTTGATTGTCTGGGAGAGCAAGTTTGTGGTTGGAAGGATTATTTCTAAGACATACTTCACAGCCTGATTACTACGTGCAGAACTGTCCTTGACGAATTTTTTTAGTAAACATCCTTTGGGCCATTTGATAAATTTTGTCCCTCCCTAAATGAAAGGCCTGATGCTGTGTTTTAACAATCTTTTAGCTCTGTGAGCTTGGTAATGGTAATTGCCCTGCTCTGTTTGTAACCATTCCAGGGGCTGGAGACAGTGTCTAGAAGTCAGACCCCAGTTTATTTGGGGGGAGAGAGTAGGTGGGATTGAGTCTCCTTCAATAATTGATATAGCAGCAACTATTTTCCTGAGCCCAGGTACCTATAGCCTACAATGTCCAGTAATTTTCAAAAACTCATATAATTGTTTATCTGTCCTGGAATTAGTAGCACCATAGTCCTCATTTCATTATACTGTTGCTTTCTAGCAAGGGCGTAAGGCTCTCTGGCATTATCAGGAAAGAACGAGAAAAAATTAGGTTTCTCCATATACATCCCAAGGGCTGAGAGAAAAATTTAGTTAGAAGTTTTTCGAAGATGTCTCTAATCATCATGCTGGATTTGGATAGTTGGCCTGGAGTGGAAAGGGTGACAGAAAAGGTAGCTCTGGTGTTAAGGAAATCAACCAGTTTTCCTTCTATATTTAGAGTTACCCGAGGCTCTGGGTTTGATATACAGTTGGTTTAGGGGTGGTTTAACCATGAAGAGCCCCAGGCCCCGGTTAGTCCCTTCCAGGGACATTGGTTATCTGAGCCGTGGCAGATAGAGGTCCCCGAGGGCATTCAGATCTCCAGCAATTGTCTCCACAAAAGGGGCAGGGTTTACGCGGTTTTCATTTTGGTTGTCCCCTTTGAGGAAGTTCTCATTTTAGTGCTCCGAATGGCCATATAAATGGCACTTGGTGCCAGGACCTCGGGAAGTCCCATCTGACATGGTATATATATAAGGCCACAGCTGAGGCCTCAGATTTTTTTTTAAGCTTCCTTTTCTGTTTTGTTTGTAATATACCCAACTGGCAGCTCGAAAGCGCTCCTCCAGGGTCCCTTCAAGGCCAACAGCCAAGTTTTGCATTTTCTCTTAGTGTCTAGGGCTGATTGACAAATTTGTCCTTTAAAATCATCTCAGCCGTAGGGGTGCCAGGGTAGTAGCCATGTATTTAATGAGAACCTCCCTCAACCTCTCCAGCAAGGCCATTGGGCTTTCATTTTGTGTTTGTAAAATAGTGGCTAATTTGGCATAATTTAAGGGCTAAATCTTATATTTCCTTAATTTTTTTTTTTTTTTTAAATATATAGATTGAGGACCCGAGGAGGAGGAGGTTGAGGTGGGAGACTTCCTTTCCTCCTTTTCTAGGTCGGTTTTGGGTACAGGTATGGGGCCCTTAATTTCATCCCCTCCTGATTCCTGGACTTTAGAAAGGGTTGCCATTAAATTGGGATCCACCTTACACTGCTTACATGTATCTCGCTTTTTTTTCTTAAGGCCCCAACACAACGAACAGAGGGGAATTCTCCCCCATTTCCCTTCACATTTGCAAAACACGTCCAATTGTAGGATGGTATTGTCGTTGATAATTTCCTCTGGCAGTCAGGTTCCCTCTTCCAATTTGTACTGGGGCCAAGCCTTTGGGCAAAAGCAAATGAATTATAATGCATTCCAAAGGAGTAATGGCCTTGGCTGGGGAATTGCGCATCTCTAGGAAAAAGGAAGAAATTGTCCCTTATCTCAGTTTCCTATAGCTGGCCAGGAGAAGCCTCATCTCCTAGCCCTTCATTTTGGCTGGCTATGTGACTGGCAGCCAGAAGCCCTGTCAGGCTCATGAGGTGCTGGGAGTAGTCATTCTTACCCAGGCTTCACCCTACCTCTGAGAGCTGGCCTGGTCTTTCCTGTTTTTTCTTCTTACCCCTTCCCTTCTGGCCAGTAGGACCTCGGGGGTATGGACTGTGACCAAGCAAGATTTTCCTGGCTGTCGTAGGATGCACTAATTTTATTTTGGTCCAACAGAAACTTACATATTGATCATTGGCCGTTGAGGGAGGGAGGGGGTTAAAGAGCCAGAGTCGAGGTCTATTCTCTTCCCCTGCCTTTCTCAACAATGCCCACAGAAATAAGTTTCATCTATGTGGGTATCCATTTTTGGCATACAGTGGGCTAAGTTTAGTAAAATGGCTCCCAGGTATCTTAGTAAAAGCTCTTTATATATTGTCTATCCCTCCTACGGCAGAGGCATCCAGTCCTCTGCTGAACAGGAACAACACAAAAGTCAAGGATTTGGAGGCCAGCACCAAGGGTACTGCCATCACTTTTCCCAGCCTTTTGACCAAAGGGTGAGGAATTTTAATCTTAACCCCGTGTATTTTTAAAATCCATTTATTTTAACCTTAGTCCGCCCTGACTACACATAAAATGTCTTTTTAAAGATTTTCCTTCACGAACCTTCCACAGCTTTTCTTTGCATTTAGATTTGGTCCCAAGCCATTTCTCTCCAAATAACTAGTCTCATTTAGGACAAAATTACTTTCTTTTACCTTCAACCAAAAATACATCTCCAGTTCTTATACGTTCATATATCCTACTTTTTTACACACAGAGTTATTTTTCTTATTTTTATCAGTTTTAACTATAGTTAGCAGAATTTTAACTCTTAGAAGCCTTAGTCTCCTGTGAAAACTAAGTAGTAACCAATTGTGAACTCTATGTTACTTTAGAATTTTTTAAATGGCAAACTTATGAATCCATTAAGCACAAAGCATGTTTTTCAACAGTTCGAAATATCCTTAGTTTTTTGCAACAAATCAAAAGCACAGACCCACATCTAGTAATTAGTGCTTTAGCCTCTTATCTCATTAGATACCCAATGAATTTAATCTCAATTTATCATGCAGGCAAAACTTTAACCTTTTAGGTTACCAAGGACTTTGAAAGCTATCTGAACAATTATCCATGACTTTGAGACAGACACAATTAGCCATCACTTTAAGTCATCCTTTCGTTAACAAATTGAAACGGAGGTAACTTGAGCTCATTTGACCTTCAGCAAATCTAGGTAGAATAAAAGGGTTTTTTTTTCAATGTTGATAAACATTGTCTATCTCAAATCAGCAAACTTAAATTAGCTTAAATACATTTTACTTGAGTCCACCTAAGACAGTTTGTTCCCCATGATTAATTTTTACCTGGAACATTGGTGGGGAAATCTGACTTTGGGGGACTTCACTCCTCAACATCTAGGGGGGAAGGAGGAGCCGGTTCTGCAGGCCGCCCCCCAGGTGGTGCAGAAACAGGAGGGAGGGAAGGAAAGGCAGAAGAGACGAGGTACCAGCAGAAGGCAGAGAAAGAGAATTCCCAGTTTTAAATCTTGTCAGCTCAGACAAAGGAGCAGACTCCAGGTTTCCTTTGTTTTGTTCTCCACCGGTGCAATTAGGCAGTGCATGTCAGTCTGGAGAAGACAGGGAATTTCCCCGAAACAAAAGGAGTTTTGGCACCTGCTTGGGAATGCTCCTTATAGTCCCCGTTCTGAAATAGAGTAACCAGAGACAGTGGCTCTAATTATCATAGTCATTGACCCAGGAAATGAAGGAGAGACAAGTCCCCACACAGTCACATGGCGACTCCAACCTGCCGCCCAGTGCCCAACGCTTTAGAGATGCAGCTTCATTCCTCATCCCTTGTGGAATTATTACGGCAACCCTGGGAGGTGATCAGGCTCCCCTTCTGCCTCTCATGGGCAGGTCTGCCAAAATGAACCGGGTTCTTACCAGTCTGATGGCAGCGACCTGAGCTGATTCCTGGGCCACACAGGTCCTCGCCCCCAAGTGCCTGAAGGGTTAATCTCTTGCAGGTCAAGCGGTCCACCTCTCCCAGGGCCCTGCAGTTTGAATCCCTGGTGGCAAAGTAGGTGTAAATGCACTGTCTCTGAATCCCGGACGAGCCCCCAAGTAATGTAGCAGGATTCTCACACACAGAGTTGTGACCTTGAGACTTTTCTTTATAGGAAGCAACTTTATTCATGTTGGCATTGCTCAGTTGGTTTTGTACCCAAAGAACTGAGCCCCGAATGCCACGTGGCATAGTTTTTTTATATGTTTTTAACTTCTGTGTCTCCCATATAGGGTAACACACAAACATGTAGTCTGATTAAGTGATCTTGTGTTACAAGGTTGTGAGGGATGTTGTCTCATACACATATAGCCAAGTTACCTTGAAGTTTCTTTTTTTCTTTCCTTAGGAAGGGGACCCTACCACCAAGTAGTCCAGTGTCCCATGCCCAGCCAGAGGGCAGCCGTCTCCAGGGGAAGCCTGCCCAGGGAACTTTGTCTACCCTGAGTTGCCTAATGGAAAAATACTGCATCTCTGCTTTCTGATCTGCAGTTATTTTATTGTAGCAAAATACACACTACATAAAATGTACCCTCTGAACCACTTAAAGTGTATAATTCGGTGGTATTCAGGGCACTCACTACCCAGTTCCAGAACATCTTCACCCCACAACAAAACCCCTACCCATTCAGCAGTCACTCCCCTTCTCCCTGTCGCACCCCTCCCCACCCCCAACTGCAGCTACTGGTGTGTTCTCTGTCTCCCCGGATCTGCTGGCTCTGGACATATCCCAAAAGAGGAATCATTACAGCATGTGGCCATTGGGATCTGGTGGGATCTGGCTTCTTTCATGTGGCAGAGTGGCTTTGAGGTTCATCCACATGGTAGCGTATGTCAGTGTCTCATTCCCTTTTCATGGCTGAGTGATATTCCGCTTTTGGAGAGACCACACTGGGTTTACCTACCCACCCGCTAATGGACATTTTGGTTGTTTCTGCCTCCGGGAGATTGTTCATAGAGCTGCTAAGAACATCTGTGTGCAAGTGTTTGTTTGAACACCTGTTTCCAATTCTTTTCAGTACATACCTAAGAGTGGAATGTCTGGAGCATATGTTAACTCTTGTTTCATTTTGTGACGAGCTGCCAAACCATTTTACACAGAAGCTGCCCATTTGCAGTCCCCCCAGCAGTGTTATGAGGGGGCCAGGTTTTCCACATCCTTGCCAGCATTTGTTATTTTCCATTGTGTTGGTGTAAAGTGTATCTCGCTGTGGTGGTTTGTTTTTTTCTTAAGTAGGCTCCACACGTAACGTGGGGCTTGAGACCCTGAGCTTCAGAGTCGTGTGCTCCACTGACTAAGCCAGGTGGCTGCCCCTCACTGTGGTTTTGACTTGCGTTTCCTCACGGCCAGAAGATGTTCCACAACTTCTCCTGTGCTTCTCAGCAATTTTGAAAAGCTGCTGTTTCATCACATTTAAAGGTCATTTGAGAGAAAATTAATTTAATTTGTGCCACTGTTTCTTTTCACTATTTTTTTTCTAAAAGACAAGAAGTTAAGTCCTTTCATGTTGAGGACTTTTTCTCAAAGCAGATACGTATTTATTGGAACCATGAAGGAAAGGTAAGAGAATGCCTTCCACTGAGCAGTAGCCAATTTTGTAAAAATCCTGGACATTTTATTACCCGAACAGTTGACTACACATTTTCTCAATTTCCAGGAAAGGAGCAGAAAGGCTTTCTTTTATCGTGTGTTTTCCAGCCTTGTCCTGTGTAGTACCTTCCCCTGCAAGAGAGCAATCAGCAGATCTATAAATTTGTAGTCTATAAACCTGTAATTAGCATGCACGGAAGTCGTCTCTGCCATTCTAGAAATGCCACTGGCATTTTCTCTCCGGTGGCTTCATGCCATGCCTGTTCTCTGTTTTCCAAGGCAGGGAATAAATATGCAATTTTACCTTAAATAATAATTGAACAAATCAAGAAGATAAACAGGCTACTTAGGTTTACAACACACACACATCCACTCATGCTCATCTCTCGAACAATGGAGAGATTGCAGGTGGTACCTGAGCGTGGGTGACCAACTGCCTCGTCGCAGTGCACACGTGTGTGTTATTAATAGGACATTCGCTTTTGCTACCTAGGACCGCTTCGTTTTTCTTTGAACACTATGGAAGGGATATCAGTAAGAAGAAAGTTCTTGCACCAGGAAGACCAAGAACTTTCTACCTTGGGATGAAATGCCACCTGCAGGCTCCTGCTCAGAACACAGTGCAGCTAGGAGAAGGCCAAACCACGACAAGACCACGTGCAGGTGCCCAGGGCCACACTGAGACCAGGACCAGACCCTGAGCGATGGGGCCAGCTAGGAAGTGGGTCTTCCTGCCTCACAGAAGGTGGGCTTTCCAGATGGTAATGCCCAGGATCTGTGAGTGGGCAGCAGGGTGTGGGGGAGGAGGCAGTGGCTGCTTTTTATGCCATCAAGTTCAAGGAGTTTCTAACACACCGGTAGCAACTATGAGGGGAAATTGACGTATTTATAATGTCTTTGAATACACAGTCTTTCTGGTGTTTACACCAAAGTCTTCTTTATGCCCCTAAAATGGTATTTTCTTCATAAAGGATATACACGTCTCTTACTAAATTTATTGCTAAGTATTTTGTTGCTAGTTTGCTATTATAAACACCATTTCTATCAATTACATTTTCTAATCATTTGTTGCTTCTTGCAAAATGGCTAAATTTTATATTAATTATAATTAATTCTTGATTCTTTTTTATTCTTTAATCCTCTTGGTTTTCTAAATCCTAAATTCTTTCCAGTTTTCTACATATGTGATCATATTACTAAAAAATAATGACTGTTTTATTACTTGCTTCCCATTTTTACCATTTTTTATTTGTCCCTCTTACATGGTGGTATTGTCTCTCACTTCCATGCAGTTCGGCGGGGACTCCTTCTGGCCTGGCGTCCTATTCCCCGTTAGCCTGCTGTTTTATTTGGTTCCCTTTTCCTGCATTTCTATTTTCCGTTGGATTTATCAAATTCTCTTCAGTCCCCTGTCTTCTCTCTCCTGGTTGGGAAGTTACAGTTAGTATTTCTATTCCAATTTATTATGCATTCTTAAAAAACAGGTTCTTATAAAAGCTCAGAGTGTGAATTCACAATTTATCTGCCCCCCTGGGCAGGCCCAGCGCCCCACAATACTCTGCTTGGACGGCTCTGGATCAAGCCATTCTGAACTGCAGCTCGTCATGGGTAGCTTCAGCCTCTTCCAATCCAGGGAATTCTGGTTTCAGGGAGCTTTCCACACAGTGACCCCACAGACAGCAAATGAGACAGGATCCCCCCTGACTGGGGATCTAAGGCTTGCCAGGTGGTTCTGGAAGCTGCCCCTCCCTCTCTCAGTGGACCCATCTTCCCCAGGAGAGTGAAGGGATTGGCCTCTGGTTAGCCACTGCAAAACTCCACCAAAAAGTCTGTGACACATTCCATTCCCCACCCCCCCCCCGGCTTCCATGAAAATCCTGGCGAGTGTGAACACTGATGCTGCAGCCTTCCTAGCTGAGCTAAACCAACACAACTCACATTTCCCTCCAGTTGCCTCCAGGTGGCCAACATCCACTTGAATGTTATTGCCCAAACAGAAGACTGGAATTCTAATTTTCATAACAGGGTGAAGCTTGGCTTTTCTCCCCAGAAAGTCTGGTTGACTTGAACTTCGTGATTTAAGTCCTATAAATTTCAGTAGCTAAAGTAAATGCCACTCTCTCCCCCTCCCTCCTCCCCCCTCCCCCTCCCTCCTTTCTCCCAAACCTCCCCCTTACTCCCCTCCCTTCTAGCCCTCCTCCCTCCATCCTCCTCGACATCTCCTTCTCTCTCTCTCTTTCTCTCTCTCTCTGCCCCCCTCTCCTAACACAATAGGGTTTTCCATGAAATCTCCCTGCAATTCCTTCTTCACATTCAAAATTAAATTTAGTTCAAATTCCTATTCTTTTCTGGAACAAAATCACTCCCTCTGAATGTCTTCATTCCCCATTCCTTCTCATTTTCCACATTGTTTTTAATTTATTTTAATCCCACCTTGTTTTTAAGTTTCCCCAAATTTGTCCTTTTAACAAATGGTCCCATCGTCCTTCAGGGGGTCCATTCCCTTCTCATCGGACACACCCTTTAGTACTTTTTTCAGAAAGGGATTGGCCTGATAAATGCCATAGGGAGAGGTGTTATTTCATGGTTGTTCTTGACAGAGAAGGTCAGCTGAGGCTGACAATTACTTTCTTTCAACATGGTTGATTGGCATTTATTATTACCGATGAAAAATCTGGGTTTTTTTAGTTTTTTTAAATGTTCATTTATTTTTGAGAAAGAGAGAGAGAGAGACAGAGCACGAGCAGGGGAGTGGCAGAGAGAAAGGGAGACACAGAATCCGAAGCAGGCCCCAGGCTCCAAGCTGTCAGCACAGAGCCCGACGTGGGGCTCGAACTCCTGAACCGTGAGGTCATAACCTGAGCCAAAGTCAGACGCTTAACCAACTGAGCCACCCAGGCGCCCCTGAAAAATCTGTTTTTAGTCAAATTGTCATCCCTTTGTAAGGGGATGTTACCTCTCTCTAAAGTTTGTCTTTATCTTTAATATTCACAGTTTCATTGTGATGAATCTGAAAGTGGAGTTGTATTTATTTTTCCTATTTGGGACATTGTGTACTTCTTCAACCTCAAGACTTATCTTCCTTAAATTCTAAAAATGCTCAGGCTTCATTTCTTCAAGTAATTCACCTTCCCCATACTCTGCACGCCTTTCTTCTGAAGGAAGGGATCCTCACTTGCCGGCCAGTTGACACACCCCGTAGGCGTGCGTTGAAAGTCTTCGTTTTGCCTTGTGGGATGCTCCATTTCCCTCACATTTTCCCTCTCTTTGGCTCTCTGTGCCGGCAGGGGACTTCCCCAGCTCACTCTTCCATTCACCAATGCTCTCTTCCGTGGCATCTAGCTCATTGTGCTGCCATCTGGTGAGTCTTCATTAGAATAACCATCCGTCCCATTCCTAGAGTTTCTTCTCATTTCTTGCTAGGTCTTCCTGTGCGTGTTTCAGCGCCTCCTGTGTTGTGAGACATTGAGCACCCGTACACTGACGTCTCTTCTGGATTTTTCTGTCACTGGTGCTCCCGGGGAGGTTCTCTGTCTTCGCCGCTGCATCTGTTTGCTCTCACGCGGCACCTTGTCTCTTTGCGTGCTGCATACCACTTGGCTATGAGGTCAGTTCAGTGTGAGCTGTCTCCACATGCAGTCCTGCACCCGTCCCAGGATGTGGGGGTACTCTTTGGGGCTCCCCGGGTTTCACTATTTCCGGACCAGGCTCACATGTTGATTTCTGCCCCTCACAGGTGGTATGATTCGAACCCTACCTGCAAGTGGCCCAGAACTCTGCTCTTTTACCACCCGTGGCCCAGAGTGAGCGGCATGCTTCTGAGCCACATCCCCAGGCAGATGGGCAGAATTTTCTTAACTCCTGCTCACAGATGGGACAGCCTTCCCTGGCTCCCCAGGAATGTCAAATTCCAACGCGGTGCTGTACTTGGCGGATGGGGCAGCAGAGAGAGGGCACCTGCGGTCTCATCTCCTTCCTTCCTGCAGGTGAGGCAGATTCAGAGAGCCCGTCAGGCCTCTAAGTTGCCATCCTGCTTCTCAGCTGTATCTTCGAGTTCCCCTGTCTTTGGCCCTGGAGAATTTTCCGCTTGGATCTGCATTTCCAACTGTGTTGTTATGTTATCAAGCATTTTTCTGTGTTTGGAGAGGGGCCACCATGTGAGGGGAGAGGGGGTCTCTCATATCAGCTCTACCCGCATGTCATGTCGACCAGAAGTCTGAGATCATGGGGCAGAGTTGGAATCTTCAGTTAATAAAACAACCAAGTCCAGCTCGAAAAACAAAAACCCAAAGATGCTCTCTGAGTGCCAGCAGCCTACTCGTCAAGCCTGGAGCCAGCTGTGCCCCCCTGGCTGGGAAGGAAATCAGCCTCTGTGCCTCCTTTGAACCCCAGGATCCAACACTGCACCAGGCCCCCCGGGGGCTCAACCGATGGGCAGCTGCTTCCTGCAGGTGCCTCACAGACGCCTCCCAAGATTCTCAGAGCTTCTGCAAGGAGGCATGTCTTTAAACCCCACTTAGAAATGCAGAGTAAAAAAAGTCACTTGCCCAGGTCATTCGCTAGAAAATGGCAAAGCTGGGAATTCTGTCTGAGGTCCATCCAGGTCCAAAGTCCACGTTCTCGGCCACGACGGAAGGCACTCTGGGGCCTTCCGAGTGTTTGCTGGGCAAACGAGTGTGGAAGCAGGAGAATTAGTCTGCGTGGCTTCAGGGGTAAAAATAAGATTCATGGGCAGAAGCTAAGGGCAAACGGATTTTGACTCGTGAGAAATTTTTATACCACTGAGAACACCCTTACGGGCCTGCTTGGACGGTATTGAGTTCCGGGCACCAGGAAAGCTCAGGTGGTTGGGGCAACCTGGCAGGGGTCCTGCAGACAGAATTGCAACAAGTAGCTGATCTGAGCGATTAGACAGATGGCTTTAGGTCCTTCCGACCCTGGACTCTGGAACTCTGGGACTCTAGCAAAAGCTATTTTCACATCTATTCGGAGCCTGCCATTCACCGGACTATAATGCCTCCTTTGATCTAATTGATGGCCCAAATAGCTTGAAGCGGCTCTCGGCGGGTGGCCTATCACGGTGGGGGGGGGGGGGGTATCCAGTTCCCAAAGCCTCGTACACTGGGTGTGTTTTCTCTCCACCGTGGGCACCGCGATCAGGATAAAGGCGATCTCTCCGGGTGGGCCCCCAGCCGGTCCCCACGTGACAGTCTCACGGCCTCGCTAGGGAGGAAAGGGGAGCAGAACTGAGAAGGGGAGGAGGAAAGAGAAGAAAGGACAGAGGGGTGGGGTAGAGGGTGCGGGGGCCCAGGAAGGAGGGAGAGACAGAGCTTTTTGAACTGTTTCCCAGCAATTGATTTTGATTACCTTCTGCCTCCACCACTGCAGAGGGGAGCTCCATATGCCTGTGTTGACTCAGGGGCTCAGGTGACAGGATTGATGCCCACTCGGTCCCCAATCCAAGGAGACTGATTAGCTCCCTGCTCTGGGGTCCACGAAGCAGGACGTGAGTCACCAGGGTGAGTGGGGGCGAAGCCACGAGTGTGAATGTCCGCGGGGATCATCAGTGAGTAGGGTCGCTACATCAGCTCCAGCAGCCCCTTTCAGACTTCCAGAGATTTCTGCTCCCGCGTCCACATCGTGCGCGAGCCTGTGGCTGAGCCCAACGGCCAGGGCCCTGGTGGGAACCAGTCCCCCACCAGGCCCGTTGTCCTGTGCGGGCTGTTGCCTTCACCTCCACAGCCCTGCCTTCCCAAGGGCCCTGGGCTCTGTCCCTCCCCCAGCCACCAAGGGGCCTCAACTCTGGGAAAGCACTTCTTCTGCCCTCTCAGAACCCCCAGCTTGGTAACCCCAAGACATGGGCACCCTGACCCGCCCCCAGAGGGCTGTGGGTGAAGAACAAGAAAAAAGTAACAGCCACCACCAACAGGTGACAGCACCAAAAGGGCCTCTTCTGCTGGTTATCCATAAAGGAAGAGGACAGATCAGGAATTATTACTAAATCCCTCCTGGGGCTGTTGTTTTCACTATCATGCCCCCCCCCCCCAT